ATTGGGTTTAAGTATACAAAGTGAACTCTAAAAATGTGAATAAATAGTTCAAATGGCTGAGGGTTCGGAAGTGATCCATATATAGACTTGCTTAACAGGGTTATGTAACACTTTTAAGAAATTCCAATGCTCAATTGTATGCGTGACTAGTTAATCGCGACAATAACTTACTTCTATAGCTTATTTATGTACGAGAATAGACATGTATTTCTAGGCATTTGGGAATTGCGTGGATTTGATGACTTAACACCAAAAACACAATAATAGAAACTGAAAGTTTGAATTAATTCGAAACCTACTTGATTCACTAAAGTTTATCTGGGAGAACTCCATTAACTATACAGTTCGACCCCGGCGTTGGCCAAAAAAGTTACTCATGATTTTTCGACGTGGTCTGCTCCCACCCAATTGTCTGTGTTGCAGGCCAGAGGGCCCGACAAGGGACAGCGTATAGTCGTTCGGATGGTATGAAAAACCAAGGTCCCACGTACCATTGGCAGTTGGAATTCGATATGCAAGTAGGCAAATCGGAGCCGAAAGGCAGGACGTTAATCCACATTTCATTGAATATATACTTTACTATCCTATACACTTATGTTACTATTACTTTTCATTGGGATATTTGCTTACTCTTTTCGGAACACCAAATTCCACTTATTACTACCGGGATGACCACTAAAAGAAATAATGCCCTGTTAAGGCAGCTCCACGCAGATGGTCGTTTTATTTGTGTTTATATTAACATTCGGGTAAATTTTGACACAAAGGACTTTGACATCCTACGTGTTGTTCTGTGTTTTTGCTGGCAGTTAGTGTTACATATCGTATTTGATAAACCATGGCTGCACGTCTTCAGAAAATAGCCGCCTGTTTAAAGGGTTAATAGAACTGATATTTGAATATTAACTTTATAGACCACCCTATTATAAAACGAACATGATAAAACGGCTATGTGTAATCATATATGTTTAAAGAGCTTAAGTGATTTTTCATGTTTAGTCAACCGATGACAACATGTAAGTACAAGATATACAGTAGCTTAGAATACTAGGTATTTCTTGCTAGGCATTGTTTGTGATTTTGAATGGGGACGGATTATGTCCGTAGCTTGGTTACTGTTTAAGTGCAGCTTGTATTGTAGTTTATGTCTGCCGTGACTAAAGTCCTAATGGCTTTTTGCGATATGTAAAAAAAGGTGACCGGGAAGCTTAGTAATTATTGGATGACATTTTATATTTATTTGAATTAAAGGTAAGTTTATGTAAAGGCATCTTACCATTATTCAAACAATCTATTTTATTTCGAATAACTGAATATTTTGATGGCAAAAACACCATTATTAAATAAATACGAAAATAAATCGAAGATAGAAATCCTCGGTATGAAATTAAGGCAAGAAAGTGGCTCTCTGATAAAGCCTACATTCACAATCGGGTCATTATGATATTTCTGATTCTTTTTCTCATTTTTTTAATTCAAATCAGTTTTGATAATGAATTATTTATAGTATATTTATTCATTTTTACCTGTTATGTATTTCCTTATTTAAATAATACTGTATATATTGTTCGCTATCTTGTTTAAAATGGTAATGTTTATAATAATACGTATATAAAGGGCTACACAAGCTTTTTGAAACTTTTGCCTTATCCTATTGATATGTGTCAATAAAATATGTTTAAACAATGGCTATGCATTAAATGATGACAGAGCTAATTGAAGCTAACAGTTGTTTTAGAAAGTGTAGCCATGGATCTTATAAGGTCCATGGTGAAGACGATGTGTTCTACTGGACATCCGTCACAATATTTAGAGCTAAATGGAGCTACATGTATATAGTTTGCTAACCATAAAGCCACAACATGCCAATTCAACGGTTAAATATAGAGTTTAAGACCATACACAGCCAAAGGCACTTTTATTAAAGAATTCATTTTGACCTAAAGATAATCAAGGGCCTAATATTTTCACATTGGGAATAATAGCCCATATTTTCATTGATTGAAATTCTGTATTATTTTACATGAGCGGTTCCAAGACCGGTGACAAACAAACCCAAAACCAATTTTAACTGCTCCTACTAAATATCTGTCAATTAAAAGGGCAATCAATGACCTTTCCGTTTAGTTTTTGAAGGTCTAATGAGGACAAAGCATCCCACCCCTCCTTCCAGCACTACTTATAAAATGAAAATTATATCAACTTGCTACGTCCACGGTTCGGTAGATATTCACTTTTTTAAGATGGTCGCCCCTGGATACGCACGCGTGTTTTAAATACTTTTTCAGAATAATTTTTAATAGCTATGCACTGAAAAGAAATCCTACCATTTCCTGTGCGAACAGTTTCTAATTATGTTTCTTTGTATACAACTCAGTTAATTAGTAACTATTAAATCTTAATACAGTTGATTGATTTGATTCTTGAAAATCATTATAGTTATTCCTGTTAAAATCTGTATAAACTGACAATTTCCGCTCTCGTGGGAATTGTAAGATTGCAGTGTTATGCAGGGGCAGACTGGGCCTCGAAAAGTTGGCAAGTTTCGAAAGCCCATGGGCCACGATTGCAAAAATAATTGATATATTTTTTCAAAATAAATAAAAATCACCATTACATTCCCTGTAAAATATAATGGTCTAAATTCGTCGAGATAATTATCTTTGAGTATGGTTGTCATGACACGAATACATTTTTAATCTTCAACGGAATGGGGGTCAAAGAAAACCAGTTGGTCCGTGGGTTTAGAGCTACCCAATCCGCCCCTGATGTTATGGTAGGTGAAGTACCGTGTAGCAATCGGGGCAACCGTGAGCACCCTAACATAAAATTAAATAACCGCATAAATGTTTAAAAAAAAGATCCGTCAATTATTGTGTCCAAAAATGGACAATCGAGACTTTCTGTACAAGTGAAAGTCACCAGTGTTCGTTTCAATAAGATGACTAACCATTTAAACCATTAGAAAGATCACTAACAGAACACCCTGGGCAGCTTGGATATACTGCTTTTCTTGGGCCCCATCACGGTAACATGACGAGAAAATGAAACTAGCTTTGTTCATCTTACCCGCATCCCACTCACAGATCACTGTTCTCATCGGAGTTAGGCCAATTATATTTATCAATGAATGCGAAGATTAATTTTATTGAATTTGAAAAATAAAATATGTCAAATTATTTTTATTCAATTGGCCCCTGACCTCTCCGGACCCTAGAACCACGTCCGACGGTCCGAGGCCCTGTCCGCCCATAACCACATGATAATTCGTTTGATCCCTGGAGTGTCCACAAGGATCTTTAAATCTGGAGGAGTGACTTTTGGAGTCAATATCCACTGGGGTTACCACGTTTTCATGGTGAGTCATTCCGGGAGTAATTGTCGAATACCATTCAAGATCATGAGGCGTCTACGTTTGCAGTAAACATTTAAATATGACCTTCTACTACCCCTCGCAGAAGTGGAAATGGGGACTCAAAAGATCACATATATCATTATCACTTTTTTCAAATGGATGTATAAAACTGTGAACAAGCAAACAAAAAAGTGTGTATTTTAAAATGGTAAGTCTATACTTGATATGATAATAAATGACACTAAATTTTAGCCGTAGATATGTGAGTGTGTTTGATTCGTGACCAAGCATCATACAGAAATATTTACAGGCCTACTTGTATAATATCTTAAATCAGCCTGAAGTAACAAATAGACGTAGTAAACTGTCAATACAATTAATGTAAGAATGGAACGAGGTTTATATCAATACTTTATAAACGCGTTACCCATTAATCAATTATTATTAGCATAAGCCAAATAAACCATGATTATTTAAATAATTTTACGTTAATTAAGTGGAGTGTCTCTGTTTGGTCATCATTAAATATTGTTTTTACATGGTGTATGGCCTCGTTACATTATATATTTTATCATTGCTTGATAAAGATTAGGGAAGCCTAGTCGAAACGTCGAACAATAAAAAGTAATTGTATTCCAAGAATTTTGACCTGGTGTATCTTTAAAGTCTCGTTGACAATTTGGGACTAACAGTCTACGATAATTCTTATTTCTATGGCTCTGTGTGAAGTGTGAGACGGGAATTTTGACGTAACATTGACATTTCTGCCTATACAATTTTTCGAATTCCATCTAACAACGGATCCTTTACATGTATATACCAATTATACGTGACCACAGGGTTTCGCCCACAGAATAACAAGACAGATTTCCTTTGAGAAAAATTCTGAAGATTCTTTGGAGCCAACAGGTGATTTTGAAACCGGAAAATTCAGTTGGAGTTCAGTGCCCTAACCACAAACCACCACGACCCCACTCAGCAAAACATGGAATATGCAGTAGGTATTCAATATACATATATAGGCTAGGAATCAAATGGCCAAAATATATATTTGCATTCTTGTAAGCCAGGCCCGTAACCGGGGGGAGCCCCCCCCCCCCCCCCCGTGAAAAAATTGTTAACCATAAAAACAATAGATATACATTGTCCGACAATTTTACAGCACCCCTGAGAACACTTCCCACCCCCTCTTTGCTCTGAGTTAGTTACGGCTCTGTTGTAACCCCAAATGTGGTGACAAGAAATGTGAACAACACCCACGAATAATAACCACACCAGGTTATGGTGACACATAGTTTTCAATACTTTTAACGAATTTTACCCGACCAGGTTTATGCTTAACATCCAATCCATGGAACTATACACATTGCCAGACATGACTACTGCATAATACTAAATACAGTGAATCAATGCTCTAACGACATGAATGAATGGATTCCCTACAAAGCACATTCTGCACATTGAGAAATAAACACGAGTGTTTGATAAATAAACAATCAAAGAAATCAATGACGTTAACCATAAATGACTACATCAACCAATGACAGGACAGCTGCGATATGATCTTGACTGTAATCCGACTGCTTTGTAATAGACCGCACACTCCAGACAATATCAATATTTCCATAGAAACCCCCAGCACTAAACTCCTTCCTCCTTTGTGTATGTCACCTAATATCGCAAGCCTAATTGTTAATGTGGATTTATTATGAATATTTCATGGTATTTTAATTCCAATGGAAAACCAAGACCGGACTAACTTTAAAATCAAACTGCGGTGTTCATGGAGGTGCTGTGGTGATGAATTATTGTGACAATTTGACCTGTAATTTAGTCGATTCGATTAGACATAATACACGTGTGTGATATGGTGTTGACATAGTAGCTGTACCAAACAGACATAGATCGGAGCTTTAAGGTCGTGTACATATTAATACACGAACAATAGACTATGCCCAAAAAGGGTAAAAAAGGTAAAAAGGTAGGAAAGAAGGCTAGTGAAAAAACTGAGCCGTCGTCTAAAACCAAAAGTCAAGAATCTGTCCTAGCGTTTGCTGCTGCTAATTCCAAGTTATGGGAAACTCGACTAGGAATAGCCGAAGCTTCTAGAAATGGATATAAAGACTGTGCTCATCGCCTGGCGGTAGAAAACGAAGAGATAAGCAACACCATGGTTCGAAATGAAAGAGACATGGTGGATGTTATAAGTTTTCTCAAGGAGAAGCTGACAGAACAACAGAAAGTTCTTGATCGTGAGCAGGAGAAATCACGCGCCCTGAGAGTAACAGCACGACAAGAAATGGAAACACTGATCGAAGACTTCACTAAAAAGATAAACCATTTAGAAGAAAAGCTAAAAGAAAGGAACCAAGAAATATTTGCCCTGAAAGATGAGTTGAAGTTTGCCAAAGATTTTCGGAGAAAACGCGACCAAATGCAGAAAGATATATTTGATTTGAAAAGAACCATGGACAACGTAAACAAGATTCACAGAGAAGAGTTCGGACGTTTGGAAAAGAAGTTCCTACTAGAGAAGATTCAGATTGAAAAAGATTCCAAGCAGAAAATAAACGAACTGACAGAGAAAACGCACCATGAAGCCGTTTCGAATTTAGACGAGACAACGAAACGGGTTTTCAAAGAAAATGTTCGTTTGAAAGAAGCACTGAATCTCGAGATGAAGCAAAGTGAAATACTAAAGAAGGAGAGGGATGATGCAGTGACTGAAAACGACAAACTTAAAGAGGAGAACAAAACTAACAAGATGGCCCTTAAAAAGAAATTGTCACAAGATACCAGAGATAAAGAGCAGCTAATGTCTTACAAAAACAAGGTAGAAACGCTTGAAAACTCTTTAACGCATGTGGTGAGGGAGTTTGATACAGAAAAATCTAAAATGTCATTGACTGCCATTAGTGAAGACCCCAGTGGATTAAAGGTGGAATTAACTCGACTTCAAAGAATAATGGAACTGAAATCGAAGGAAATGGTCAAAATAAAAAGACTTGCTAAAACCATTTTAGATCAAAGAACAGAATTGGAAAACTTTTTCATGAGTGGTTTGGACGATGTCAGATCTGAAATCGCCAAAGAGAAATCTTCTCTCTCGAAAATACAGCCCTCAAATTTGCCCTGTTCGACGTTTCAAACCCTTGACAGGGGTGAAACCCAGCTAAGTTTGAATTCGAAGACAGATATTGGCGAGTTGTCATGGCTGCAGAAGGAAAGAGTTTTACGGCATCTCTTCGCTAAAATGAATGGACAAAAGAATGGAACCCCTGCTCAGTTGAAACAGTAACCTACTGCATGACTACAGTTATGGTGACAAGACCGACGCAAACTAATAATGATAATAGTAATAGCTTTAAAACCCAATACTAGTATTGTGTAACTGCTGTAATATTTTTTTCGCGATTTTATCTTATGAGTAAAAATTTTAAGATATTAATAAAAATTTCTTAATTTCTTTCTTCATAGTATAGATAGTCACAAATCTGTGCTAGGCAGCAATGTAATGGCTATTCCATAATCTAAAATACGATGTAGTATATTTGTTATTGAGGATTGCCCTGCAATATCCCTACCATCTCAAGCACTCCTCAATAAAACATTTGAAGTTAAACATTTAGAGTTCAACATTTGAAGTTATTTTAAGGGAGGTTTCGGTCATTAGATCTGTAATTGAGTAGGGCCCCTTTACCTTACCTCGCGGATTTTCTTCGGTTTTTCCCCGGTTTTTTCCCAGGTTTTCCCGTTTCTGGTCACTGCTACCGACCCCTGCACGGAAGCAATACTATTGAACTAAAAGTGTAGTATTCGCGTCGAGTGGACGTTAAAACCCTCATTTTGATGTCTTCTCTTTTATTGCTCAGATCTAGGAGAGTTTGGCCGGTCGTATCGCTAACCTTTAGATACGATTTCAAATACAATTTTAAATATCATATATCTTCCAACATGACCGTGGCACATATCCATACGACACATGGGATTTCATTATGGGTAATCATATTATTGAAAAGTAGCTAACCCAACACGCACTTATGCAATTAATCACGAACCTGGCTAAAGTGTATAATATCACCAAGAAACCAAATGAATTTTCTTTATGTCGGCGTATTGATTGTGGTTGTAATGAAAGGCTCGTCTCTTTGTATTCCAGTTTCATTCTCTTAAAAACAAAAGACGCTCGTTAAACTGTCACGAATGATCTATAACTGTATATGACATTTCTAGAACCATATCAATGTTCTCAAATTCATTCGAGTCTTGAGATACCTATTTTTTACGCAGTGTAAATGTATTGGATTCGTATCGCATTATTATAGAGGCGATATAGCTTTGAAGGTCTTCTTCGTCGGATAGTAAAAACTTCGATTAACGGTTACATCGGACATGGTCTAGTTAGATGTGCAAAATGTAATACAAATATACCAAGCTTTTTTCAGGTATTCACGTTTTAACGCCTAATTTACAAGTGTATACATTTTTAGTGGTTTTTAAAGAGTTGTGAAAAATTCCTTTACCGCTTAACAATTTCTGAACAATCAGAATATGCATTAATGAAATCTCTACAAGTAATGACGTTAGGAACCCCGCAATGCACTTTACTTTGTCTCAGAAATCTATGCCCGAAATGTATAGTTTCTCTTATGATTTCAGGGGTATCTAGCTGTAACGTGATTATGAGTCGCCCTAGTACTGCATCAAGCAAAAGTTCCTTGGGAATAGTTCCGTTTGGATTTCATGCAAAGACTTCCTTCGACGCCGACGATGCCCTGCGCCGAACAAGAAGTGCCACGTGGAAATTAAAAGAATCACCAAAAGATAACGACATCTGGAAAAGACCACCACCGGATTTCCGGTATGCAGTGTATGATCCACAACCGCCTAAACGCAACACTGTAGATTCGATGAAACCTTGGAATTATGGTACCATTCCTGGAGAACGAGTGGTTTATAAAAGAGAAAAGACAACACTGTTGCCTCGAATACTGAATAATGATCAATCGAAGGACGAGAAGGAGTTTAAAAGATTTTTCAGAATAGATCGACCCTTCACAGCTAAGAAGAAATTTGTTCGTGAGGGGATGTATGAAGCTGGAGAGTATGAAATGCCCAAGCCGCATGATTTCAGAGATGTAAGTATATTTTGGTAACTAAAGGGTATTTTATAAAACATAGGACACTTACCCCCAAAACCGCAAATGATATTTTTGAAATAATATTTCAATGATTATACACTATAGAAGTTTTAATGTTATAAGAAATTGCAGCTTTCTGTCCATCTAGAATGAGCTGCTATAAGATTACAATCACGTGTTTTTCAGTTTTCTATCATTTTATATTTCATGACTTACCGAAGTTTTATCATGGAATTAGAGTACTGTTATAATTCCGCGGTTTGTTAATGTTAAGACATGAAATGAAATGGTGTTTAACGTCCTACTGTTCTGCTCAAACTAACTGGGCTAATGAAGATGGCAATGTCGAGAATGATAAGAAGAGTAGACGAAAATATTGTATTGATAGGATGTTAAACCCTATTCCATTCCATTCATAATCATATACTTAGACTGTCAAACAATTTCACCGTAGGTTGCACAGTGATATTGAACCGCGTGTTGTATTCAAATAAACAAATTCATATTATATGCATTGTAAATTCGACAACTAAAGATAAATAGTCAATCCAATTGTCTTTATTTTTTTAGTATCCATCATTAAAATCATTAGGATTGGAAGAACTACAGTTAGCACCAGAAAGAGACCCATATAACTTAAAATTCAACTCAGAAAGATTAGATATAAGTAAGTATATCCACAGATATTAATCTGATTAAAATCATATTCCTATATTTTTCAATTCATTTTTAGTTTTCTTTCGTTTTATATTCTATACATTTTTATTTTGCCGCACCCGTTTTACTAAACATCTGGCAGGTTGTTATCATTGGATGGTGTTCTAGTTGTGTACTGTAAACAGACAATGGACATGCAGATTTTAAATCAAGACAAGACCAAGACACCGTCAACAGTATTAAAATGTGTTCTGATTATTACGTGTCATTTATTTCTTTTAGTTCGTGGTCTAACAGCGGGTGACGCGATATTCCTGTCAGCAGATTATCCATATATGGCACCACCGTTACCTCGTCAACCTCGTTTTGAACCAAGTTTAATGTTAGACAGAGAATCATACCCACAAAGAGAAGTCCGGTTCACGGTATGTATGGCTTACCCGTTTTACTGTCGTCTGTTCGTGATTCCTTCAGAGCCCACTTCAGAACCAACTTATGGGTGTAAAGGACGACGTTATTGTTTGGTGTATGATGAGTTCAATTTCCCATCTCCATCTATGTTCTTTGATCAATTTCATCATTTCTTGGGTGTGTCTGAATCCACGGAATACAAGAGAAAATAAGGTGTGGCTCATGGTTCCTGGCATGGGTGATAAACATATTTCTTAATCTCAGACTAATGTTCTACAGGAAATGAACTTGGTTGCTCCCTAAACCAATCCCAAATTCTCCAAAATAAACGCTACACCAATACCCTACAGACTTAAGAGCAGGTTACGATGTCAGTTCATAATTCAAACATTTCTTTTGTTTCTATAGATGGTATAATGACTTCATACGCCTTTAATATTATGTAGATAACAGTAAAATTGAAATTACAATTCGTGTGAGTTTCTGGTGGATTATCCATTTTTTTTATATTTTAGAGATATCGTCGAAGGAATCGTCAAGCATACAGTGCATTTATGGAAAGGGTTGAAGCCGATTTAACAGCTCAGTGGAACAAAGAGAAATTAGAAAAAGTCATTCAACAAGCATCTTGATGAAGCAAAACATTAGATTATTGTACTCAATTTGATTGTTTACCGTTTAACATTACAATCTCAAACGAATTTCGTGCTCAACAATTTTCGTAATCAGTTGCTTTTGTAGTCAGTTGTATATTTCTAACCAATATCCAGTGACGTAATTAAAACGCAACTAATATTTCGCAATGAGAACCGAGATCGAAACGACATGATTTGATAGTTCTACTGGACAAGGGTCAAAGTCTTTTTGTCCCATTCCGTTGCAGACGCATGTAGATCCATATTTCCGGACCCTCTTCTTCCCTTTCAAACTTTGCAAATGGCCTTTGTGTTCATCGTTTGGCTAGTTGAAAAAGGTTTAGATTTAGACTTTCTGGTAATTTTTGACCCACAATCCTGATTTTGATGCCGAATGATAGGAATATAAACATCATGATATCGAAATCGACGTCAAAATTGACGTAATTAATAGTAGTATATCCTGTACGGATGCATTTATGAAAAAATGTAGTTGGCCAACCCCCTTCTTGATTTTTATCAGGTATGTTTGGGTAAGTTTTTAAAAGAGAAATTATGGGTCAAAACATAGTTTTCATTTAACACTAACGTCAATAGAAAACTGAAATATTGGCCTACTTTCGTGGAGTTGTTTCCCCTAAATGCGTACAATCAATGTCAATAGTCTGGTATCAGGATTGTATCGATTTACCAGTGTTTTTGATCAAGATTTGTACACCTATAAAAAGTCTTTATAGTCGTCTTCAATGTTAATTTGGCTGTGATATGTTTATATTTTGTAATTTACATTTGTTTTAGAATAGATATTGAAAATGGTTGTATTTTAAAAGAAATATATTGTCGATTATTGTTTTGAAATATTTGCATTGTTGTTCTCGATGCGGATAGTTACCGTATTTCGTATTCCAATACACAATCATAAAATGTTGCCAATGACCCATTTATTTCCCTTGCATTTTTATATCCCAATTTAATATGAACGTAGATTGTCATCGGTGGCGTGGTGGGGCGGTCGCAGAAAGGGGATGGGGTGGGGGAACGGGAGATTTTGTAACGACGCCTCGTTTATTCGCTGCAGCAGAAAGAACCAAGCCAAGTGATTAACAAGAGCGTGGGTCTGAAGGTTTGCTCTTCATCGAATTCCAATTGTCAAGGGTTATCGTACGTGTAGGCCAACGTGTATACGGAACAGCCGTTTTTGTCCCATCCGAACAACTAGACACCGTTTTTTTGCCATGCTATCCGTCCTGCACCACAGACAGGAAAATCCCGAGGTACATCGTACCATTTGCTTATTCGTCCTCGGCTCTACTCCATGAAGTGGAACGAAACAATACCACTGAAGGATGCTGCTTAGTGAACCAACGCCTTACTCACTGAACGACCGTGACTCCCTTGAAGCCCCCACCCCCACTTGTTCACTAAGAATTTCTAAAATTCTTTTTCCCCTTGACTACCTAAAGCTTTTTAAGGAACAAAATATTTAACATTCTATAGTTTCCCGAGAAAGTTTTTCGGAACTTTCCGGCGTGGTTTCCGCTTATCCGTGGTGCAGGAAGTGTGGCCTGTCAAGGAAATACCGGGATCCCGTGTCCACATATTTCTGAAGTCTAGGCACTAACTTGAGCCATGGGGGACGGGGGGTGTTGGGGTTGTTGGGGTGGTGGGGGGATTGGTGGGGGGGGGTGTTGTTACATCAATGAGTTGGAGTCTGGGATCAGCAAAGCTCCCGAATGTCACTGCCATGGACACTTGATAGTCATATTCATCATATCTTTTATTTGTTTATCTAAACCGAATAGCATGAAATTTTAGATTGCTGCTTTAATGATGAATCGGATATGGTTGTGCTACTGACAACAGAAATTACGGTTATGTTATGTGGTCGACTCGTTTACTAAATTCAGTTAGTCTGTGTCAACAGCGGAACGCAAACTCTGTAAAATTTAAAAAAAGATAGACTGCCATTCCACAAAACAATCCAACAATGTTATGTTTAACCCAAATCAAAAAGGTCTAGCCTTTTTAAGAGGCAAATTATTGGGATAGTTAACACTCATGCGAAGATTTTTAAATAAACTTCCGTCTTCTCGGCTGTAATTGATAATGCGTGTGGAAGAATGGTCTCTCAAGTGAGGCAAGAACAGTACAGTTGTGAACTATAAGACCGGAAAGACGAAGTAGAAACCACAAAGCGATCCTCGGAAAACTGATAGAGACGTTAACATTATGTTAAATATATAAGCTACATGCTATCACAAAAAACTAACACATATTAAAAGTATCACCATAATGTATTTTGTTTCTCACCATTTTGTTTGCAAAAACTCTGACATAGTTCGTAAATATTTTATTGTCAATTTCACATTTTAGGCAATATACAAGCTCCGAGTACAGGGTCGAATTAAGGTTTATGCTACACAAGCTACAGCTTAGCAATTATGTCTTATCAAACAACAAGTATTGTAGCTAGGGCCGCACGTCACAAAGTCTGTGCCCTGCCCTTCCCGGACACAATGCGACACTGCCAAAATATCTTTCCAAAGAGTCTTTTAGTATTTACAAACAAGTCGTTGGTAAATTTTTCACAGTACTAAAGACCCGATGCTAACACTACCGTAACGAATCGGCGTGAAACAAGTACGCTCTCACAAACCGCCAACTTGTACGCCGATCTCCTGACAGGAGACGTGTCTTTTCTTGATCTGGGGAAGTTTTGTAGCATTCCGGTAAGTTTTTATATGGCTAGCCTTACCCAAAGACACCCTTCGGCTTCCCACGTACTCGGCTGCTTCTTTAGCTTTAGATGCTGGGGTAACTGAGGGAGTACTGTCGGGATACAAGATAGATGCCAGGTGCTGGCGGTCTTTCTTCACCGGGATCAGAGCGGATTTGATCGTACTTTCTTCTCGCTTCTCTTCCTCCAGAATCTGCTCTAGTTTCTCGACTTTGTCCTGGAGATCATTGGTGCTGTAAATTAAATGAGGTTTTACACCAATCTCCACATGCATATCGGCCTCGGCTAAATCTCGATGGAACTGAAGAGTTGCTAATTGGCGCTCAGAGGAGTAACGCTGTAGCCTGTTGGATTCGTACAGTACTTTCTGAGTTTTGTATTCACTCTTCAGGCGTTTTTTAACTGCTGTTACCAGTTTATTGGTAATTATTACCTTTTGCTTTCTTAATTGTCTTAATGTTTCGCTCATATCTTTAATTCGTTCATCCAGATCATATACAGTTGACGATAGTTCATTTGAGCGCTCTTCACGTTTTAAAAGTCTTTGGAGTTCTTCACTATCCTTCTCTAAGATCATTTCGTGTTGTTTTATGTCTGCTACCAATTTTGACAAACGTTCCGACATTTTGTTTTCCAAATTGACGATTCTTTGCAACTTTGCGTTAAAGTCGCGAGTTCTTTGGTCGTCTAATATCAACCATTTTCGGGTAAGCGTTGCAGCCTTTTCAAACTTAATGAGAATGTCAGGAATGTATCGAAGAAGCGCGCTTATTTCTTCATCGGCGTTCAGTTCTTCGACCATATAAGCACTTTCATAGCACAGAAGGTCCAGATTAATTGATTCTTCCTCGTCCATATTAAATTCTAATTGTTCTTTAAGAAAGGCAAGTCTCTGGGACAACTTTTTGATTTCTGAGGTATCGTACAGAGGTTTTATATCCGCGAATTCTTTGCTGAGAAGCATCAAAGCAGTGTGGGATTGGGCATGCAAACGTTCCATAGCTGCTGCATCATCAAAGTCCTCTGGATCTTCCAATGGGTCGGAGCCACCGTAATCCGACATAATGCCACTCTCGCTGCTGTCGTTTGATATGTTACTAAATTTTGAAAGGGAAGATGACGTAGATCCCCGTCTATTTTCACCATTATTACTACCCTCCATAAAATATTTAAACAAAGGCACAAAAATACGACTGTTAAAACTTATACGAAGGTCCCTTAGGTAAGTTAAAAATTTAAAGAACCAGGTAAAGTATTGTAAACATTTGTTCAATGACACCGGAAGACTGTTTCTGCGATCGATTTCATCGTCGTAAACCTGTCGTAACTGACTGATGTTTGTGATGTCGTAAACAGAACTCTGCTGTGATAGCTGACGCACCATACTGTAAAATAAATTCACGTCAAATCTCTCAAAGCACATTTCTATTTTATCCTCGAATGCTTCAATCTGCCGATACATCAATTCACTGCGGAGTGGTTCTTCTGACATCATTAGTCGCAACTGAAAAAATATAACACACGTTCTATTAATCTTGGAACATAAATGACAGATGAATGTGTTATGGAACAACGGAATAATACATTGACATAGACAATGGAATTGGATATTTGCCAATTCATGTATATTTGCAGAGTGCTAATTTTTACATGATGAAAGGGTAACGGGGTATACGGGCTGTTAAGTACCAGATGCTCGGCAAGAATGTTTCGAATCTGCCAATTGTATTCACAATTAAAGACAACACTGGCAATCCACCGCTGAGATATAGATGTTTTAAGATTCATTTGGTGTAATTGACAGTGATAATATTATTTGCGAAGTGGGTAAAGGGGAGAGGACCTTAATTTGTATAACTCATACAAGACGCCTCTTTTATTTCAATAAATCAAATCATTTTTTACAACAGTAACTCAGTTGTCAGATAAGATTGGAAAATTTATTTAATCCGAACGCTTTTGGTATCTAAGGTGGCCGGTCTGAAAAAAGACTATCCCAAGCTTTATATTAACGTAAAATGTTAGGTATATAATGGACGTCATCCACCACATTACCTATCAAAAAGGCGATTAAAAGAGTCGGGCACAAGCTATTGACCTATAGCTATTATATGTGACTCTTTTGTCGGTTAAATTAAAGCCTGGGCCTTATTCATGAAAACTTAAACTAAGATACAATCGAAATTTTAAGAAATACTGCAATTCGATTGGCTGACCAGTAAAATCAATTTGCATAATAATCCAATGAAGTTGCAGTATTTCTTAAAATTTCGGTTGTAACTTAGTTTAAGTTTTCGTGAATAAGGGACCTGGACTTTTGGCCAAGCAACCTACCTGAAGAGCTTCTGCTCGCTCGTCAGCCATTGTTCTGGAAAAAAATATACAATAAAATAATATGTTATTACGATATTACGTTTAAGAATAAGAAAGTACTTATATGTATTATAAACTAAATGTGACCATATCTCAGCAAATTAAATAATATATAGAAAGAAATGAAAGAAGTTTGATCAATACCTTTGTTGCATTTGTATTTTCATATCATTGTTATTATTAGTGCGACCCATACAAGAAATGTGTGTCGTTTTCAAGTACCCATAACATATTTACGTACAAGTTGTTATATACTCCTACAAAGGAGTACATGTCGGATTCACCTTTATGAACTTAGACTTATTAAATTAATTATTGTTATATATTCCTACAAGGGAGTACGGAGGGTTCACCTTTATGAACTTAGACTTATTAAATTCCATATCATAATAAATACATATATACATACATATAAGATTGGGAAACGTTAAAGGCTGTTTTTCAAGCCCGGTAGGGGTTTGGCTTGGTACCCGGTTTCAATTGAAAATGCATCAGTTACTTATTTAAGCTACATGTAGAATCTAATTTATAACAGTAAAACAATGATTATGTTCTTTCAATCCCGAAATTATTTGCTAGAGAGCTTTTAAGAAGCACCAGAACTTGTAGTTCTACAAATCTTTGGTAACGAGACAAACTAGGTAAGGCTTCTCAAACTAGGTCATTTCGGGACTGATATATGGTACAATTAGACAGGCGATCCTACAAGTGTGGAATCCAAACCATGGGTGAGGAGTCATCCCTCCATTCACGCCTATTCCGCTAGTCAAACTTTCCCAAGAGTTAAGATTTACTGAAGTTTCAGAACATAAAAAAAGTTAGAAACAATACGTCGAAAGGGGCTAGTGTAATATTCCCGCTATTACTTAGAAAAGTATTTCGGCTATACTATATTTTCATGGTCTTGGTTTTCAACATAGGAAAGTATTACCTTTTATTAATATCTTTTGGTATAAACCATAAAAATACAATATTTATTCAATTTGTATATCATAAATTATGTTTGTGTACAATTATCTATAAATACTTTTACTTTTAAGTAAAGGATAAAAGGGAGACAAGCGTCTCTTCATTCTGATATAAATAGTAAATTCCTACGATTCGTCCAAAACATATTTATGGTCTATATTTAGCTTCTGTCTCTATTCTTGTCCAACAAAAGGCGTTTATATATTCATTATTTTTCAGTTAAAATTCGATTTAGTCGATTAACCCGATCGATTAACCTAAATGTTGATTCATTCACACAAGAGCACGACGCAATTCGGTCCAATGGTTAAGAACTTAAGAACGTTATAAATAAATTTGTTTTTGCCAAATTAAAACCTGACAATCGCGTTCAAAAAGTTACAGACACTATCACTCTCAACAAGAGGAGCACTGGCCTACTGAGAGTATAGCATTTTGAATCAGCTTCCAAGACTTCGAGGTTTGCAAAACTGATTTTGAATACAGTAACAGTAAATTAAACTTAAATTCACTGAAAATACGCCAATGATTAAGTCAAATATTCGAAGCATCCGACCCCATTTACCCTAGTTTCCAATAAGTTTCCTTTACAGATCTGGGCCCTTATTCACGAAAACTTAAACTAAGATACAATCGAAATTTTAAGAAATACTGCAATTCGATTGGCTGACCAGTAAAATCAATTTGCATATATCCAATGAAGTTGCAGTATTTCTTAAAATTTCGGTTGTAACTTAGTTTAAGTTTTCGTGAATAAGGGCCCTGGTCTTGACATTTTAGACATTTGGTCAAGAACAAAGGTGTATCGTTGTATTTAGAAAAGGTGTTATCATGCAGTTACATTCGTTGTGATTCTAATTACATCCATATTCCAACCCTATCCATGAAACGACAACGAACGTTAACTGAATCTTAAACTATTATCATGAATAGTAAAAAAATAATGACAGATTGGTCTCAAATTTTGCATCCAATCTTGTAGATTCCATGAAACGACAACGAACATTAACTAAAATAATATTTTAACGATACACAACGATCGCCAACGCGGGACAGGTGTATTAAAATAAATGTTCAACATTCCGACTTGATTTGGCGGTTCTCTTTGACAATGTCCCCACTTGGGTTTCTTGTTGTTTATGGGTATATGTCTTGTGGTTCGTCTATCACTTCATGTGGGGGGCCACGGTGAACCAATGCCAGTAAGTATGGGACTGGCTATCAACAAGGTGGCCTCGGGTTGGACCCCGCTGTTGGCCGCAAAAGGACGGAAGGCCTGGAAAGTAAAAACGTCTAGTCGTTCGGATGGCATAAAAAACCGAGGTCCGCCTCTCTACCTTTGGCTCTTGATCCCTAATGAGTGTTGGTCAGTTGCACAGATCAGATCAAGGGCCGGTTTCCCAAAGCTCAAATCTCAGTTATTTTACCGATCCGTTAAACTCTAAGGTATCGTTACCTTGCTAACGTGCTGTTTGTTAACGGTCCGCGGGGCAGGCGGAAGCAATTCTTGATGTGGGGGGGGGGGGGCTATCATCCTAGGACTTTAGGCGAGGGTCCACGGGTCGCCTAGGCCCCGGAATCTCCTGGGGATCTGGCTAATGAAATTACTCAACAATGAAGTGAAATTTTATTTCTTTTCTAAATCCCTTACCATGCAAACACAGTGGATGGTGGTTTCCTGCGATGCTGAACTTGACAAATATATGTATAATAACACCAAGGTTGTGGACACTGTGAGGTCACAATTTTTATACGATTTTGACGAAACTGACAATGTATGTTTATAATTGAAAGACCTCGACATTTATAGCTCTTGGACCCTCTAGACCTCACAGTTTTTATTTTAGAGGACATAATTTTTATACTATTTTGATGAAACTGACAATGTATGTTTATAACTGAAAGATCTCGACTATTTTAGCCAGTTCAAATTTCGTGAAAATCGGATCGAAACAGCCCGACAAATTGGCCGTTACCCTTAAAGGCATGTAATACCCAGGTTATGGGTCATCCAGAGGTTCGAATTTTCATCCAATTTTGATGTATCCCAAAGGTCTGGGTTCCTTTCGATATTCGCGCGTGACTTCCTGGATTATGACCTCTGATTGTACGAAATATCACGTTTTTAGCTTGTGGACACCCTGGAGGTCACCATTTGCATCTTATTTTCAAAACCGGTCAAATAAATCACCATTACATCATAATTATGGTTGAATTTACCGAAGATTGGACCGAAACTTTCAGTAAAATGGCGCCCCCCCCCCCCTTTCCGCAAATATTATAAAAGCATGTAATACCAAGGTTGTGGACCATCTAGAGGTTAGAATTTTTATCCGATTTAAATAACTAGCTCATTGATGAGTTCAATTTTGCCCCCGTGCCTTTTATTGCAAAATGTGAAATATGAATGAAGTTCGTGGACCTTCCTGGGGCTAAATTTTTTGTCCGATTCATGAGATGAACCATAAACTATGTGTTAAGGATCAATAGTTCATGGACGAGTTCGACTTTGGTACGCATTAGATCTCACCTATAGCCCCTGCTTTTTACGCAAAATGTGAAATTTGTATGAGTTTTTAGGCCCTCCAGAAGGGCTACAATGGTTGTCCCATTGATGAAACTTAAAAAATATGTTAAGGATCAAAAGATCTTGAATGAGAGGATGAGCCCTATTGATTTTACCTCTTCCCCATACATTTCTTGGAAAATGTGGGCGTATTTTGCATGACAACCGCTTGTTTTAACTGGTCATCATAACTGATAGCAGTGAATTATTTGATAGATAAGGGACACGGGGAACAAGTGTGAGAAAAACTCTATCCCGTCGTTTTTTGTTTTAATTATCTAATATCCTAATCTGTCATAGATACAACGGATGTGAGATCGGGTTGAAATAAAGATCGACTGTTCAGTTAACTAATCGTGACCCTCGCTACTGGGATTCTCATTAATCAGTTTATAGCATAACAGAGAGAGAGAGAGAGAGAGAGAGAGAGAGAGAGAGAGAGAGAGAGAGAGAAAATAGAGAGAGAGTTTATTTAACGTCCACTCGACACAAACTATGTCATTTGCGCGTAGGGGTCTTTAGCAGTGGGAGGAAACCGGAGGACCCGCAGAAAACCCTCGAGGTTGGACGGGCGACCCTACTCCTTGCCACGTACAACCGGGGAATCGAACCCATACCAGCTGACCCAATGACAGACCCTATGATATAACGCGCACGAGCTAACCATTCGCCCCCCCCCCCCCCGAGCATAACAGGGCCTTTTTCTGAAAATCTACGTTCTAGAAGTCTCACTTATATGTTAAAATCAGATCTCGTTGTAACTAACGGCATAATCGCGGCCAAATTATTGGGGTGGTGGGGGATAAAGCCGGAGAAAAGAGTACTTGCGAGGCCAAATTATTAAAGCCCCCCCCCCCCCAAGAGTACACTATTTGGTCAATGTTTTTTCAACAATTGAATATAAATCACTTTACATACATTCATATTACAATAATAATAAATATGTGCTTTTAGAACCATTTTTGTCTATTTCAAGGTTCCAAAAATAGAGACATACGCCCATTCAGGTGCCAAATAATTGAGCTATACGCCCTTTAAAGAATGAAGCCTACCTTGTAGCACCAGCGGATTTTATTCTTCTTGTCGCCATTTCTGAGATTTAAAATTGGTGTCTTAATATATCGTTCTCATAAATAACCGATGATTTATTACTAATCTCATTACTTTCCTGCATAAAAAACTAAAGGAATGAACTAACTCCGCCATTAAAATACGGCGTCTCTGAAGCACTAATCACCATGGTTTTACAGATAAACAATTCAAACGGAAATCTAAAACCACTTCACAAAAGATCAACGAAAACAGTTCACATCATTATGTTCTGGAATTCGAATCTGTTTCTCCAAAAATAACTGAAAGTGTTACGATGTCATTGGTGATCGAGAACAACTGTTTCCACAATTGCTAACACAAATGTCATGGTCTGAACATTTCACGAACTGAACATTGGACCGTAACATATAATATGATAATAAAACGTCATTTGAATATATCGGTGTATATATGTGACCTGGAAAATAAAAAAATTATGAATGATAAAACATATATTTATATTGTTGAACTGTCACAAAGCAAAACTAGTGACCTAAAGGCTTTCTTGCAAGAGACGCCAATCAAAGACACATACCCCACCGACGGTTGGAGACATAATGGAATAATACCAATTTCTGAATGGCCTATTTGAAAAGCTTTCATTGTATGATTTGCGTACAATATATAATAAAACATTTCGATTGAGCATTTATTTGACACTGCCTCATTGTTTTTTGTACTCGCTGAATGTACGTCACTACAATTGTTTGGTAGTAAACAATAATTACACTTTAATGGTTGCTAGCTTTGTAAAGTGGTCTTGTACTTGTGTTGTTTGGACTTGAATATTCGGAATGATCTGGCAATGAAGCTTACATTTTTGAAACTACGTGCATAATAAAAAACCAAGAGTGGGTGGAGGGCGTTAATTTCAGGACATGCCAGTCGACCCTATTGCTTGTCACGTAGGCTACAGCTGAGAATCGAAATCATTTCACTTGACCCGACAGACCTTATGATCTAAAGCGTATGCGTTAGACCATTCGGCCATCCGACCCCCCCCCCCCCCGAGGCGGGGCTCGAGGATAGTCATTTCGGGACTAAAATATGAAATCGCTTGATCGTAGCAAGTCCTAATTAGAAGATAGCAAGTTCTAATTAGGAGTTACTAACTCCTAACGAATTAACTCCTAATTAGGACTTAATTTTAGGGCGAAATAAATAGAGAATAGCCATGCAAAGCGTGGACATACGTCCACAGAGCAGCTATATTTGAGCCGCTATATCCGAAAGGAAAACATGGATCTGATAATTTGATGAAGGTCCTGCACAAGATTAGAAAAAAAAAACGTTAAAAGTGTAGCGCCTATCGGATTCGGAAAGTGGGATAACGCCGGAATAGAAGATCGAGGTACGCTGAATATCGATATTATTTGTCCTTCCATCAATGCTTCACACACAATTTGAAAACTATCAGTTATAAACTGTAGCTTCTAGAGTGGCTGTAACTATGCAAGGGAGGTTTGCGGAGCGCTGCATACCGATCGAGTTTGTCCTCTCAAAACCCAAATGATTCAAACTAAATTGGAAACAAATCCTTCAAACTATAGCCTCTATCGAGCTCAGAGAGTTTTTGGGAAAGTGGGTATAACTTTGGGTCGGGAGGTTGCGGAATGCTGAATATCAAGATGGTTCGTCCACTCATGAACCCAATATGTCACAGATTATATGTAGCCAGTATCGCGTTCACAAGGTCTTCGCAAAAGGATGGGGTGTAACTCCGGAACGCAAGGTCGTAGAAAGGTATATATTGATAGAAAAAACGTTGCGTGATGCTGAATATAGATAATCTTGGACCTCGCATGACCCCCAATAAATTAAATTTGAAAAAAAAAAGCCTTTTGGCAAATGCGGTCATCCCCTGGAGGAAGGTCGCGTAACGCTAAATATCAACAGTGCTTGACACCAAATTTGAAAAAAAATTCCTTTAAAACTGTATTCTCTAAAGCGTTTACGGCAATGGGTGTAACTCCAGAAAGGAAATTAGAGGAACGTCGAATATCGATAGGGCCATCCCTCTTAAGACCCTAATGCTTAAATTTGAAGAAAAATCATCTAAAATTGGTAGTATCTATCGCGTTTACAAACTGCGTGGGCTACATCGATAGGGATTGTGCATTATGACCTCTTCTTTCACACCAAATTAAAAAAACAAATCGCTCTCACAAGCACATTGTTAACGGAAGGTCGGGTATGCAGACGGACGGACGGTCGGGGCCACGATAAAACAGGCCGACATTAATAAGGAGATACTAAGTCCTAATTAGGAGATAATAAGGTCTAATTAGGGGATACAAAATACTAATTAGAAGATACTAAGCCCTAATTAGGAGATACTGAGTTTTAATTAGGAGATACTTATTACTATTAGCAGATACTTTGGCCTAATTAGGTGATACTTTGGTCTAATTAGGAGATACTAAGTCCTAATTAGGAGATACTAAGTCCTAATCATGACTTCATTAACAAACGCTTATAGTTACTCGTAATTAGGATTTACCTTGTCCCCTAATTTTTTTTTTTTTTTTTATGCGACCCTAATATGCTTCCGTATAGGTGTGCTATATAAATCTATTTGTTAAGGCCAGTTCAATTTTCATCAAGGTCGTTGAGATGTAAATAAGGTTAGGAATCCGGATTGTTGGAGAGATTGTAGGTTAGGTTAGAATAAGCATTGGGGCTAGGTCCAGGGTTAGGTTTAAGAATCGATCCATCTAATTGAGTCAGCTGGCGTGCTTTCAACTCCCCGCGGTTGTACGTGACAAGGAGTAGGGTCGTCTGTCCAACCTCATGGGTTTTCTCCGGGTCCTCCCACTGCTAAAGACCCCTACGCGCAAGCGAATTATTGAAATAAAATGAACCATTTGTTAGTCCCGAAATAACGTAGTTTTTGTCGAGTAGACATTAAACCCCATTTCTCTCTCTCTCTCTCTCTCTCTCTCTCTCTCTCTCTCACACACCTGGGGTTTGGGTGGCAGAATGGTTAGCACGTGCGCGCTGTATCATAAAGCCTGTCATTGAGTCAACTGGCGTGGTTTCGAATCCCCGGTTGTACGTGACAAGGAGTAGGGTCGCCTGTCCAACCTCGTGGGTTTTCTCCGGGTCCTCCCACTGCTAAATACCCCTACGCGCAAGCGAATTATGGAAATAAAATTAAACCATGTTAGTCCCGAAATGACCTAGTTTGTGTCAAGTGGACGTTAAACTCCATTTCTCTCTCTCTCACACACCATATTGACGGTGATGTAAGGGAGAAGACTCTCAATCAGCCTAAAGCATAGAAGGATTCAGACTACCCGGTAATAATTCTCTCCGCATTGGCCAAATACATCCATGACATTTATAAGCCTATAACATTTTTTTGAACATTCCGAAGATCTTATTCCTAATAACCACAAACAGCTCAACATGTCACAATCGACTGATAGAAATATCAAATATTGAAGTGGGTTGACCATCTTGAATTTTTGCCAGGATTGGTCAAAGGAATCTGTGGGCAGTGACTTCATACACCATCAAAACATCAGTGAAACCATAATCCTTATATATAAGACATATAAAAATAGATTTCACTAAAAATTAGAACACTTATATGGATGTAGTACTTCTGAATTTTATTATCATGCTACGTCTCAACACACGTACAGGTGTCGTTATCAAGCAAATAACCATACCTGTATGATTGTTGAAAGGTAACATGATAATAAAATTCAGAAGTTGTAAATCCATATAAGTGTTCTAATTATCAGTGAAACCAATTATTATTCTTAATTCAGGAAGCAGAAACTATCAGACAAACTGTATTAAATGGCAAATATGTGCTAGAATCACTGGTACTTCTAAAACATGGGTTGTCAGGTAAATACCTGCTAGATCAAAGTCTTGGGAGTTCATATTTTGACTGAAGGGTATCCCTAACAAAAAAAGATGGTTGTAGAATTTCCATCATGGGGCAAGAGTACAGTGACGGATCATGGCAAGGACAACAGTGGCAAATGCCTCAGGGCCCAGCGTTTTGGTGACAAAAAAAAATGTTTTTTTTATATTTTGTAGAAAAATATAAGACCCATTTCCCCAGACTCATGAAACAAAGTGGCCTTTTTTTTCTATTTCTTTTAAATAAAACAAACTGGTGATGTGTTTTGGAAACATATTTTTTTAATGTCTTGTTGGCCTTCGTAACCAGGTGTTTTATAATGTTTTTTTTTCAGATTGTTTCATTTGGAATGAAAAACCAAATCCTAAAAAATACGAAGTTCCATATCAACATTTCTTTACTACTTCAATACTTTTAAGTGGAAAAATTAAAACATATCCATAATTCAGTAGTGTACTGGAGTCTTTTATTTAACTTCTAGTATATTTTCATGCCACATTAAAATGTCACAGCATATAGAATGACAATAATTTGTGCCAAAAAATTCTCAGTGCTCAATGTGGGACTGCCTTCCATTGTCCATTGTGAATTCTCTTTTGAGAAAACTTTTCAATTTTCATTTTTTGGGCGATTTCTTCTTTATACAGATAAAGAAAACAAAATTCAGGTATTCTTATTTTTTATTAAAAGAAACATGTTTTCTTTTTCATGATAAAATTTCATTTTGTGAGATACAATTTAGTGATCTATTAGGATAAATATATTAGCAATTTTACAATCATATTGACATTATTAAATCTATTTTATTAACTTTCATTCAATATACTTACAATCACGAAAACGAAATATTTGATCTAAGTACATTAAATTCATATTTCTAAATCTTATAGATAACTCCAGCCTATATATTTCATGAAGCATCCCACAACAAATTACATGTAACAAATCCAGAATGTTTGCACCAAAAAAAAATGTGTTATAGATCCTAATTATAATTTTTGGAATATTCTTAAAATTGAAGTTTAAAATGTCACAAATATGTGTTTTCAATCCAGAATGTTTAAAATCTCATAACCTTACAAAGTATTCTTGGAATGTAATTTTCATAAATTTTTGAAACTCCTCAATGCATCAGTCATTTAAAAAGTCTCAAAAGGTTCCAAAAATTAGAAAAATATAATACTTTGACATAATATGGAAACTTTTATATTATTCATTACATAACCATTATAAACCTCCTTCAACCTTCCTTTAATAACCATTAAAAGAACCCATAAACCCTGCATTTGATAACCATTAAAATCCCCCCTCCCCATTAATTAGTCTCATCACAAAATACTTGTTAATGAGTTCAATGTTTGCACTGTTCAGTAACAAATATCACAAATTGTAAATAAAATAATAACAATAATGGAATAAATAATGCTGTTGTGATTTATCTATTGTTTAAGCTGTGGGTTGAAACTGTTCAACTCGTTCTAACAAAGCATCAGAGTAACCAGGGGAGTAGTATCTGAAATTAAAAAGAAAGTTAAATTAAGTTCATGATTAATACAAACAAGTCACAAGAAACATCGTTCACTATGAAATCTTCAATATATGAGAAGTGGCATCACGTGTTATGGAAATAACAAGCATGCCTTGCCTAATGCATGATTCTATAAAGTTTATAATTCATTCCTTGATCATTAATTTCATTTTATTTAGTTGGAATGAATATTTGCAATGGTGGCCCATTTGGGAAAGTCTCCTTTAGATTCCAATCAGCATTCTGATATATAATGTTGTATGTTATGTCTCAGAATTTATATTGGTGAAAGAGTCTAACGTATAATAAGAGGGGGAAGTTATTTCCATTCAGAATTGGAATTGGATAACCATTAGAGTTATGCATGGTATTTCTGACAAATAACCAAGCAATGTATGCAAAGATCCCAATCGTTAAAATGCTCTTCTTATAAAACTTACTTGACAATTTCTTCAGGATAACAGTTGTTGATTGTGTTGACATATTCTGCTAAGGCTGATCCAGGTTCAGATTTAATTTCTTGTATTTTCTTTAATCCACCACTTGTCACAAATAATCTTCTAGCTTTAGAATCGTGGGGAAGGACTTTACTAAACTGACCAACAACGTGTTTGAGCACATTAGGCGGAGCATCGTGTAATAATGGTTCTAAGGCAGGTAAATGGACACATTTTTGTAAAATATTTTTAAGGGCTTTTTTACTCTGAAAAGACAGAAATAAATGATTTTTCTCATTAATTATATGTATACAGAATTGACCTTTCATACAAGTGGTAACAACATTGTTAAAAGTGCACTCAATAAGATAACCTTTAAACTTTTTAAAAATCTTAAAAGTTAAATAAAAAAAAAACCCAATAGATATCCGACTCAAAAGTTTCATTTTTGCCCATTTTGTTTATTCAGGGAAATGGTCCTATCTCATTTGTATACAATAATTCAAGGTACAAAGGCACTAATTACCTTTGTTTGTAAATCTTCTGAAACGTCAGCTCTAAGGTAGCACTGCAGAAGTTTGGGTAAAACATTAGCAACAGCCACTGCCTTGGCATGTTCTGGTGTGTGTCGACCTATCTGTCCTAGTGCCCATGCTATAGCAGCCTGTATGTGATCATCTGGTTCCTCTGATAAAGCTATCGCTAACTGTACAACACCCTGAAAAAAAAAAAAAAAAATAAGTATTAACAGTGTTAGAATAAGACATTCTGTTGATATAATTATGATTTGCGAATCAATAAAAAAGTTAAATTTCAAGATAGTAATGTTTTCATGAATAACAACACTATTAAAAAGATTGGGCAAATTAAACATGTGTACTGCATTTTAAATTTATCTTCTGTAAAAAAAAAAAAAGAAGTTTGCACTATTTTAATATTTAAAAAGTTTTAATCATTCATACTAACCTTAGAAACTATGACAGCCATTGCTAGATTTTCAGAATGAGCAGCAACATAGCCCAACATCATGACACCTGGCAGACGAACATTTCCTCTCGCTTCACCAACATAATCTACAACGGCTGCTACACCTCCAGCGTTTACAATCAACTGAGCTAACTTAAAAACAAAACAAACAAATGTATTAATTAATCAGAAATAGCATTTAATTTGTCCAATATCTTGCAAAAACAGAGAGGGAAATAAAGTTTAGCATTAACCTGACTAGCATACAGTAAATCTTTATTTCAATAATTTCGCCTTAATTTTGGAATCTTTTATAAGAAATAGGAAATCAGAGATCTTGGAGAAAAGCATCAGTTTAGACTGATGAAACTACTTATATAAACAGAACAAAAACCTCGATTTGCATAGATAACAGACCTTATGGTCTACACTGCATGTATAAGACCACTTGGCCCACTCCGATAAGACCTAAATTCATTTTAAACTAAAAAAAAAAAAGATTTAAAAGTCTTACCTCTGGTGTGTGTTTAGCAATTTCTCTAATTAAAGTAGCAACATTTTTCTTGACATACTCATCTGAATCTTTCAAACAGGTTAGAACAGCTGGGAAGATTTCAGCTTCAACAACCATTTCAGCTAAATCTACTGAATGTTTAGCTATCTGACTTAGAGCAGAGAATACTTGTCTCTAAAATAAAAAGAATTCATAATTTATGACATGTGATTAAATCATCATAAGAGTTCATAAATTCATTAATTTGTAATATGTATAGTGATGGGTGATGTGCATTGAGACGGAGTAAGCTTAATTTCTAGAACAGTACCAGATACCCAATTATCCTCTTTATTTGAGAAGTTGATGACTACTACTTTTTGATCCTGCCTTAGTGCTTATAAACTTTTTTAACTGCATTTAGTAATTGAACTGGGACTACACAGTAAAAAATTCTATCGAACACAGTTATTTTAATTTCTAGGCAATGTCTTGATTAGTATTCTCTATTACAGGATTTATCAAAGATGATTATGGTAACATCTACTTCACAAAATCAGGAGAGCCCTAAGCTATCAGTAAACAAATGTAAATTGTAGTCCATAGAAGATATTTAATCTACCAACCTTAAGTTTTGCATCTGGGTTGAGAATCATCTGAGCTAGATGAGCAATAGCCCCAGCATCTACAACAGTTTGAGCCAACTCTGGTGAATGTTTACAAATATCACTTAATGCAGAAGCAGCAATCCTCTTCAGAGACAATTCAGGTTCCTGTATACACAGTACTAAGAGGGGCACAGCTCCAGCATCAACTACAGCTTGTGCAAGTTCTAGAAAAAAAAACAATATTAAGAATATCAAAAAGAAAGTGAAACAAATGTCTTGTGTACAGTAGGTCATTTTGGAACTAACATAATAGGCCGTACAATGACAATGGGACAGACGTTTATATTTGTCAAAGAATTATGCTGCTTAAATTTCAAGGTTCTATGTACATTTATATCTCATCATCTGTTTATTTTAACGGTGTACAGGAAGTCACTTATATAATTACTATTTCTAATATTTATTTCTGTACGCTTAGTCAAATACAAGTTCATTTGTAAGCAGAAACTAATTGTTTTCTACAGAGTTAAGTACAGATTTTGAAGTTCTTCCAAAATGTGGCTCCTTTCACCTCTGACTCTATAATGGAGTATAATTTTGTTTTCCCAATCACTTCATCTAATTCACAGTTAAAAGTTTATATGATAACCTTAACAGTGGATTCCAAGTAGGTTAATAATGAAATAATTGTTTACCTGCATTATGACGAGCTATGTAGCCAAGAGCCCAGGCAGCAGACTCTTTCACACCTGGATCAAATTCTTCCAAACAAATAACCAAGGCATCTAAAGCGCCACAGTCAACCACAGACTGGGCCAATTGCGGGGAGTGTTTTGATACAGCCCTCAGAACAAATGCTGCTGCTTTTTTGTAGAATCTCTGTTAAAAATAAAAAGAAAACAAGACATTTAAATTAAGATATGAAACCTTGAAACTGCTTTAATCAGATATTAAACAAGACTTAAAGAAATTCTAAAGACGTTTAAATTGTACTTTTAATACTGGTTTATTCTATAAGAATTATGTGAATACAGTATGTCTGCATTAATCTAGAGAGCAGTCAGTGCAACTGTTTAAGATCATTCATCAGCACTGGATAGACTATCTTACAAAAATAATTTTAATAATGATTAGTGGCAATTAATAATAAATATTAATGCTTGATTATACTGTCCCACACACTTACATTTTGTTCTGCTAATGAATAAACTAATTGAGGTAAAATATCGCCCTTTACAACAGCCTCTGCCAAATCATCATTATAATTAGCCAATCTACCAAGAGCTAATGCTGCTGTCTGTTGAATAGTGGGTACAATGTCCAAGAGAAGAGGACGGAGAAGAGACATAACTCCGGCATTTTGAAGAGTTTCAATATTCTGTGGTCGTGAAGCCAACTCGGCTACCGTCTGCACAAATTGTGTGCGGGACTTTTGATACTGTTCAAAAACTGAAATGGAAGAAGACACAAATAAAAAATCATCAGCACGGTCTAGGCCTTGTGTCACACTGTGACTGTGAGACTCGTGAGTGGATGTAACAAATGGGATAGCCAATAGGCTATGTCATAGTATGTGTCGCAAACTAAAAGTATACGATACATTAATCATCGTTCATGCTAATTTAGTTGACAGTGACAGTTGCATCGTGTTGGAAAGCTACAAAGATTATTGTTTACAAATATGCGATTTATATAATTATTTGTGTATTATTTTAGACGACTTTCATGTCTTCACTGGAGACTGACGAGTTCAAGTGCTAGTTTTTGAATTATCATACCGCCTTATAGAAATGGTTCCACTAGGAGTTCCTTTGCGCAAGTTTTTTAGTCAAATGACTAAAAAGTCCCCTTATTTACGCATATACTGACCCAAAACTGTACTGCACATAGCTTAACATATATAATAAACCAATTCCTATTGAAATAAAGATGAAGCCTTACCGCATAATTATATGATATGAAACCCAACTGCTACGCAAAATTTGTCGTCTACCGAACTTATTTCAACTGCCTGGTGTCATGGCGGCTTTCACATTATAAGAAACATCGCTTTGAAAATGTAGAACGCATTACCACAAAGAAAAACTGTTCGTTAACTATTTTAGTGGACCAGTCTTCACTATTTGTGATAGAATTACTTGTTTTAATACAAACTGTAATGATATGTGTTGACAATTGTGCGTTTGAACCTATTTAAACTTCCGTAAGGAGTCTTAGACTGTATCAATTGTAGCGTTAAAAACACAGTTTAACGATACATTATTACATTTAATTGTAGCTTACCGCCTAAGTAGTAGGACTGAGAGGTTCGATAAAACCAGACCACTGTCACTGTCTGAACTGATCTTTCTTAAATCAATGCTACAAAATTTAAATATAGTTTACCTTGTAAAACCTGTCTTTGACTCATTTTGATGGGCTCTCCAGCGTCTGTAATGCTGCGAATGTGGCCCACTGCAGAACTGTTGTCTTTTTGTAACTCCCGATAATCCGTTGCTAAGCAAACATAAATAGCAACTACAGCTACGGACTCAACTTCCGTTATTTAATCTATCAAAAATAAAATAAAAAAACTTGAAAAAAGGATTTTCGAGATCAAACCTAATATAAAAGTAGAATAAAATAATTAAAACATTATCAACTAACCTAAGAAATATTCATTTCTAAAACCAAAATCAGGATGAAGTATAAATTATTTACCACGGCACTTCAACATGGCGCTGTCCATAGCTCTGAAAAATTGTTTTCTAAAATATCCGCCTCAAAGTGCCCCGATAGCCGCTATTTTGCATGTAATTGTGTTCAATAATAACTATTTTAATAACATAGATTTAGCATTACTCAATATTGTTTGGGTTACGTTAACTGTCATTGCAATGCAAGGAATTGGAGAGAGTCCGTCAGTCCATTAGTATTAGTATTATTCATGTCATTGACGCCGCAAACAGGAACAAGACTAAGAGAGATAATTCTTTTCGCCATCGATTTTATTAAAAAAATTAATATCCATGTAATAATGACTATTGACGTTCTCATGGGATTTACATAACATACAAAACGTGTAATAATGACTATTGTCGTTCTCATGGGATTTACATAACATACAAAACGTGCCTAGTTTAAGTGGAGCACGAAATCGAATATTATATTATCTACAAATCAGGAGATGTAAATATTCCACAAAACTAGTTGGAGCCTGGAGGTCGCATATTCGATCCATGCATTGGCCAAGAAAGTTCATCAGGATTTTCCAGTGTGGTTTCCCCTTGTCAGTGGTTCAGGATTGAGGGCCTTCAGGACAAGGACAGCTGTCCAGTCGTTTTGGATCGGTCGAAAAACGAGGTCCTGTGTAAGCCTATACATGTACATTGGAGTGCACGTAAAAGATCCCTTGACAGATGGAATTTGATATAAGCGTAGGCCATAACCCAGTAGGAGCAAAACAGTAGGACGTTGAACCCCATTTCATTTCATTTCACAATCAAATCAACACAATTTTATTTGATTCATAATTTTAATTTTAGCAAACAACACATTCATAATCTGTTTAATAATGTGAAACGGACATGCCATGGCCTAGTAAGCTCGCTCTCATTCTTTTGTGGTTAGAAAAGATGGACTATTGGCTGTTTGACACAATTTTCACAACTCATCAAGCTGTTCTAGAACACAGTCCAAAGCTATTTTGTTTTCAGAATAGGTACCTTAGCCTATGTTATTGTTGCCTTCATGTTACCTATAGCGCTCAAGCTCGGAGAGCGCTGGCTGTGTCAATCGCTATTTGTAAATATCTATATTTGTGACTGTTTTTTACATTAGGGATGCCCTGACGTTGAAATTTAGGGCATAAGGGCATTGCCAGGTCAACTGCTAGTATAGTAATATTTGACTATGAATGTCATTATGGAAAGCCTACACTAGAGTTCCATAGCTCACACTTTCCCAGCCATTGCCTTTCATATTGCCGTTTAAAATCATGTAAAGATTGATTGTAATGTGAATTTCTTTTTAGATATCTAAATTTAATTATGCAAAAGATCACCCAGAGACACCAGAGTTTCCAGATGAATACAGCCTAACTCCGATTAAGGGAGCTATATTTGATAAGAAACCGTTTCGTATTGAATTAAAAGCAGACAAACTGTACAGTTGGTGTGCATGTGGCCACAGTCATAATCAGGTTTGTATGATTTTTGTGACAAATAAGCTTTTGAATTTTGTATCCGTTCCTGAAAGGGTGTACATGTATTCATTCTTTTGTCAGTCAAGATTTTGATTTCATTCCATATGATACACGTAAATGTAGGTATTTTGGGCAGACGTCAACAAGAGGCCAATCTGTTTATAAAATCAGATGTTTTACAGTTCTCTTTTCTTTTGGTTTATGTCCCATAATTTATATTTTACCAGACAATTTGTAATTGACATCTGACAAGTTTATCAGTGTGTCATGTTTTAGTTATGTACTGTTCCAATCATGCCAAAACGTCATCCGTTGATATATGTATAAAGTCATCTCGCTGCTAACATTAACCATCCTAAAAGCAGCTGTTCTGAATATATGTTAGATCTTATGAAATGTAGAATATCAGAAATATACTAAAGCAATGAAATAAAGATATAATTATTTGGGTGCTCTGTGACCCATTTAATTCAACCCCTGTAAAGATTTGTATATTGTGTCCTCCAACTTCGGCTCCTGTCCATGCACAACCTTAAAGCAAAAATTGGGATTGCTTTGTGTAGCCAGGATGACAAACTAGTTGGTGGGCTTGTTTATATCCTGGCAACCTATAGTTATGACTGTGTATATTTATAACTGATTTATGAAGCAAGTGATTTCGCATGTCCAATTACTTTTAGTGTTAAAATTAGATATATTGTTGAGCATAAAGGCCAGCGTTGAGTTGAAACCGATTTTGTGTTCCACAGTCAACACAGTAAGCCAAATTCATAAAAAGCCAACTTTGACATTATCTTTTGAAATGGAAGTTTAATAATATCAAACTTGTCACTAATGTGGTGGACACACTAGCCGAATGATTCGGACGAATCAATTGGTGTCGATGTCATTTGGCCGAATGATTCGCCCGAATTAAACATGTTTGATATATTCGGCCGAATTATATTCGCCTATTGTGTCCGCTTTGCTGAAGCATTGGCCCGAATGTAGAATTCATTAGTCAATCACCACTCATCATCCACTCATATCGAGAAGTCATGTGATTGTTTGAAGACATGGTCACCGCTATTTTTAATCATATGTCGTGAAAGGTGATGCAATCGACTGGTGAATCGGGTGAATCATTCGTCTAGTGTGTCCACCCATTTGGCCGAATAAAATTTGGCGCCAATTGATGCGGCTAATGTATCCCTCGCCTTATAGAAATAATATATTAGATCAATCACTTTAAATTAAAAAGGTTTAGTTCCCCTATCTGTTTGTAATTTGAGGGATTGTTAATCCATTACAATTATTGTGCAAGATTAATCTCCGAAAGGAATATCTATCTTTGATATTTTACTTTGGTTTTCTTAATTAAATATTAAATAATTTGAGCTTGGATTTATCCACAAATGATGATCACCAACTTTTATTGTAACATTTTGATACATTTACTTAATTTTACAGCCTTTTTGTGATGGTACACACAAGACATTATGGGGAACACATGAGAAAAAAACTGTGCCAAAATTGCGACCACACAGATTCAAGGTAGAAGAAACCAAAGAATATTGGTTGTGCAATTGTAAACAGACGGACAACCGTCCATTTTGTGATGGAACTCATAAAAATGAAGAAATTCAAGCTAAAATCAAGTCATGATTGATGATTGGATAAAAAAAAGGACAGAGATGACTTATAATTGATATGCTTTGTGATAGTGAATTTGTATTTGTAAGATAGTAAATAGATTTATATCAAAAATATTGTCTGGAAACATATTGTATCTCAGAAGTCATCTTTGTTTACGTTTATTTAAGAGGTCACAGTAAGTGTGTGGTTTGCATACATGCTAAGTATTCTGATTTTAAATTTTTTAATCAGCATTTTCTAAATGATTAGAATAACACATGAAGTTTATATCTGGCGATGTTTTGACAAGGGTTTTTTGATAATTTATTTTCTATCTTCGTAAACCACTGCTAATTACATGGTGTATGCACGTCTTCATTAACCCGGCAGATGCAGAACAGTGGTGTGTTAAACCATATATCTTTTCATTTCCACCAGCCGCATTAATCACATTTTCTTTCAAGATCTGATGTATGAGCTTTATTGATAACCCGCTAGTCTTCCCCCAATCTACTAAATTCCAGAACAGTATTCTGGTATAGCTCATGAATATTTTTGCAGACTCCATGACATACAGGGCTACAGAAATGACATCATTTCTGACACCCGCATTGGCACTAAGCTGAAACATGGCATAAATGAATAAGAATGAACATGTACTTTGCTGTTCATGGTTTTAATATAAACCACAGGCCTCTGAACTGTAGTATAGCTGATCCTCAAAATATTGTCCTTGGCAGGATCCTGCTAGTGCTAACCCATCACCTACCAACTTTCTGTAGAGTTTAAAGGGCTGGGTTTCGTGCATTCATGCTGTTCCTAAACTTTCATGTAAATATTTGCTGGATTTAAACCTTTGTAGTGGTTATTTCACATGCAAGTAATGATAAGTTTTTCAATTTTTAATTTGTCAATGGCATCAAGAGAATTTATACAATTCACGAAGGTCAAATTTCTCATCGGTGTCCTATTCCAAGAAACAGACTTGTTCATGATTCAAGTACAAAGTTTAATTCATAAATTTTTAATATAACAAAACAATTACACTATTGAAAAGAGGCATACACTTATACATTACACAATACACATTAGTGTCTTTCTGATAATCACAATGAATGATCCTCACAAAACACAGTAGTCCAGTTATCTATTTTGTGTAGCACTCTGAAAGGTTACATTTGTCCAATTTTTTCCAAACATTTTGTAGAAACTTTTAATTTTCCAACTAAATCCTATAAGAAAACAAAAATGTTTATATAATGGTATATATCATCTAGGACTAGTCATTTAAATGGGATGAAAAAATGAGAAGCTTTGTACAGATTGGGGTGCATGTAAAAGAACCCTTGGAATTCGCTTGCTCGCTAGCCTGGAGGTCGGGTGTTCGATCCCTGCATTGGCCGAGAAAGTTCATCAAGATTTGCCTGCGTGGTTCCCCCTTGTCAGTGATGCAGGACCGAGGGCCTGACAAGGACAGCTGTCTAGTCCTTCAAATGAGACGAAAAACCGAGGTCCCGTGTATACATTGGAATGCACGTAAAAGATCCCTTGGCAGTTGGAATTCGATATAAGAGTAGGCGATAGTGCCGCTGCCCGGACAAAATTTCCCTCATAGCACACTGTATGGCGTATGCCTGTCTTCATTAGCCCAGCATAGGAGCAGAAAAGTAGGACAGTAAACTCCATTTCATTTCATTTCATTTACCCTTGGAATTCAAAGTAAAAGTAGGCTGTAGCACCGTTATGACATATGCCAGTCTTCATTACCCCAGCACAAAAACCTCATGGAAATCTCAAAGGCAATGACAACCTGTCTTTTATTTTTATAATAGTTAAATAAGAACGCACATCTATGCAAACCATGCATAACAAATTTTTTCAATTTGATTGACTCAAATTTCTCAAATGCTTGGTTTACCTAGAAGGCCGAAAATAAGTGTTTGGAATGTAGTAAAACAAAATGTCAAGGGATTAAAAATATGATACGAAAGAAAACCTTTGGACATTATAAAATGTTGAAACCTACCTACATTAAAGATACGTTATGTAAGATTTAGATAAAGAGCTAGTCATTCTTGCTATAATATACTATTCAAAAAAAGTAGGGGATATTTGATTTTGGGGGCATAATACTAAAATATGCAAATGACTACGAAAAAAGTCATTATAGAACCTAACAGAAGAAACATTTCCAGTTACATGTGACGCCCAAACGCACCAATAGCTACCGCATGGAATGCATGTGATGCTTGGGATCATCATGGGGGTCCAACCCAAGATTTGCACGACTCTGACTTTGAATGTTACAGTCATTGTGGCATTGAATTCCAGGGTGGAAACATCAGTTTAATTGTTTTAGTGACCAGAAAACAAATTTTGATATGCGTCGGCTTACCCAAAATGAAAGGTTACGTGCCCTTGGCATGCTACAGATCGGCACAACACAGGCGGTTGTGGTGCGGACGATGAATGTTTCTCAGTCTGTCATAAGCAGGCTATGGTCCAGATACCGTGATACACAATCTGTACAGGACAGACCACACTCAGGTCGACCAAGGGCGACAACTCAAGCCCAGGATCGATTTATCCGTACCTTGGCCTTGAGAAATCGTGTCTTCACAGCAAATCAGATCAGCGCTCGTCTTCAAACAGACACTGGTGTGAGAGTGAGTGGCCAGACGATTCGGAATCGACTGCATAGGGGTCACCTTCGCGCCCGACGTCCTCGCATGATCCCTTGTTTGAGAGATCATCACATTCAGGCAAGACGTCGTTGGTGTAGGGATCGTCAACACTGGGATAATCGACGCTGGAGCAATGTGATGTTTTCAGATGAGTCAAGATTCACTGTTGATTTTTTGGACAGACGTAGGAGGGTGTGGCGTCGTCGAAACGAGCGCTTCCAAGACGTTAACGTCATCAGACATGATCGATTTGGGGGTGGTTCTGTTATGGTGTGGGGAGGCATCACTGTTGCTGGAAGAACGGCTTTACATGTTGTTGCAGGGCGTGTTACAGGCCAGTACTACCGGGACAACATCTTGGCAGTCCATGATGTGCCGTTCGCACGACGTCATGGCCGCCGTTTCATCTTCCAGGATGACAACGCAAGATGTCACAGGGCCAGGATCGTTACAGGTTACCTCCAACAACAGAACATCACCACATTACCTTGGCCAGCACTGAGTCCCGACCTCTCCCCCATCGAGCATGTCTGGGACATGCTTGGACAGAGGTTACGTCAACGTCAACAACGTCCTGCCAATGTCCAAGAACTTGCTGCTGCGTTGCAACAGGAATGGGACAATCTGGACCAAAATGACCTTAGACGTCTCATTAGGAGTGTGCCACGTCGGATCAATGCTTGTTTGGCAAACAGAGGAGGATTTACCCGTTACTGACTTGGTTGTGATGCTGTGGTAACTTTGCTGTTTGACCCCGGGTATCATTTTACCCTTATAATGGTCAGTCTGTGCCTTACTTAGTCTAACGATCATTTGGAATAAATCGATGAATGTGAACTTCATTTCATTTTGTCATTTGTTTCTTCGTCAGTTTCATTAGGTGACTTTAATAACACTTAAAAATCAAATATCCCCTACTTTTTTTGAATAGTATAGTTCAAAAATAGATAATGTAAAATGAATAATTTAAAAGTTTCATTCAAATTACTCTAATGCGAGCGAAGATATTAGCCTTTGAAGGTTTGACAAGTCGTGTGCAAGAATTTCAACTACCGCACTGGTTGTTCGAAGCTTAGTCTCGCTCCTCCAATTTTAAATTAAATCAAAATATGGCTGAACCGTTCTATTTAATATCGGAGAAATCCGATGCCATCGAGTGTTAATTATGGCCTGGATCAGTTATTTAATGTCTAATAATTTAGAAAACATTTCAGACCTAAAGAAACTAGAAAGATCTGCAATATGCAGATTTAGCTCTTGCATAATGTATGTTTAATCATGAGTAATTGAAATATTTTCATTATTTTGTCTCTGCATTTTTCATAACAATTCTGATGCTGAATCTGGTCTTTTGCTTGGGTCCCTGGGTTTGACCACTTGATACAGATTTGATAAAGCAAAGCAGGGTCAAGTCTAGAAATTAAAGCCAACGGCAGATGTAATTAGGGTGAGGGCACGTGATTGTGGGTTATGGTTAGGGTTAGCCCTGTTTACATCTCGTGACCTTTGATCAAATCTGCAGTTAGACCTAATCAGCAAATCAATCAAAATTAAATATTACCTGTAATTGTTCCATGGAACAGGAAAATTGAATTTCTTGCAATTCAGAATTACCAGGAATCTGAAGAAAAAAACCAGATAAAAACAGTATCTCTACCAAACTACTTGTGAATAAAAATGGTTGGTGGGATTTCTTCAGAAAAGTGTTCAGACCCAATCTTAAAGGAGATGGTTCATCGCTATGGGAAAATTCAAATTTTCTATTCAAATTAAAACTGACACGCCATGTTTCTCTGGGAGTCGTGGTGGCTCAGTAACACGTGGCCTAGAGGTCCTGGGTTCAATCCCAGTATTGGCCGAGAAAGTTTACTTTCGTTTTCCCTTGTGTGTAAGAATATAGAGCCTGGCAAGGAACACTGTTTAATAGTTTGGATGATTTCGAAGAACCAATGTCTTGTGTACACATTGGTGTCTACATAAAAGAACCCTTTTCAGTTGGAATTTTAAATAAAATAGGCAGTAGAGCCGCTGTCAGGCTAAAAATTTTGGTCACAGCATGGTGTAAACCTGTCTTCATTAGTCTGGATGGAACAGAAAGTTATTTCCATCTGTTTTTATATTTTAACAACAGAAAGATAATTTAAGAAAATGTCAGTGGTGTCATCAACACTACCAGACTTTTCAACATGGCATCTCCATGCTCAAAAATGGCTGTAAAGTGATCAGATTTGTCTATTTTATCACTTTGTCAATTTTTATCTTTTTCAATTATCAATTTCTAGTTCCACTACTGATGTTATTGGTGGCATTTAAACATGTGTCTAGAATTAAAGTTGGTTTGCGTAGCTCTTCTCATTATATATTGTTAGAATATAGAATAAGTGGACCATCTCTTTTAATGATTAAAGTTTTACTCATGTACCACTTTTAATTGCACATGCTTAAAATATGAAAAAGTATTTTTTTTTCTTAAAGAAAATAAAAGGCTGTGATAAATCATCATTCCATACTGGCATTTTTGAACTATTGCTATACTAGAGTTATCCACCTTTTCAATGCATGCTGGCCAGGGTAATATCAGTTGCCGTCAAAGGCCAATGGGTATGAAGAAATGGGACTAAGTGGGAAACTTAATAAGTGAAGTATAAATAACCCTACCTCTGTTTTTAATGTTATTAAATACACTGGTTGATTGACTTTATCTACATGATTGTTCTGTAGAAAGATAAAACATGATATATTGCAAAAGGTAAGTAGTCAGTAATGATGTGCAAGGCCTTTGGAATTGAAACACTAGCTTCAAGCTATACTGAAACATTTTGCCTAACATACCGGTAAACACTTCCTGCATTTTTATATATTACCCCATAATGATACACCCCAATCTGACTTTATTCCATATTAGGCTGACCTTAAAAATATCTTTGTTTCGCCTAACGCGACCGACTAACTAAAACCACCCCCGACTTAAATTATTTTATTGTACTTTTCCACGATCTTTTTATTTTATTTTGTGTGTCAACCTGAAATATATCATGAGAGTTATTTCCCTTTACTATGGCTATGGTTTGATTCATTATTGAAACTGGTTGATCAAGACGAAAGCGTCATAGGTGTCGCTTCTCAACAAAATGGTTGCAGACGAATACACGTCCATTCCCACGAAATGATTCTGCCTCTATGTCTGTGGTGCGTAGTTTTAAACATGACGACGATATTTTCAATATCCGTTTTCGAGAAAAATGAAGGCACAACCCGCACTATCGTTAAAAACGTGTTGAAGGAGTTTCACACTTCAAGTTCGTGGCAAATCGTGTGCGAGTCGATCATCACGAAAAATCCCGATGTCATTGATTTGTTTGCCAATAAAGAAGACGAATGTTTCCACCCGGAAAATTATTAAGCTGTCAAATTAGCTCTTAAGTTTAATAAAAACTTTCAGTTCGTTACTTTTTACGTCAGACCCCAAATTCATTAAACAAAATTAATGAATCTGTAGTATACAGCTAATAAGTTTTCTGTATTGATTTCTCTGACTTTAAAAAAAAATCTGAAAAAAAAACCGACCTACCGACCCTTCTCCTCGATTGTGGGTCGGGTTTGGTGAAACAAAGATATTTTTAAGGTCAGCCTTAGCACACTGCTATTAAGCTTGGTTTCCCTGACTAATGCATCAATATGTGTCATTTTTTATCAAGACTTACTGGGTTCAATGAAAATGCAGCTTGAAACCACGAAAAAAGTCCTAAACAGAAATGGCATAAATTAACCAAGATACCCTGAGCAGTGTTTCATCTGAAAAAATTGTAGAATAATTTTCATTTTTATTTTGAGAGGAATGGGGTTAAAAATCATTTCTTTAATTTTGTATTAAGAATTATAATCACCTTTATATAATAATCTAATCTCCAGTCAACATCTACAATATGTGGTGGACTCTTCCCTATACTGAAAACGAATATTAACAAATTAAATTTAAGCAACTAAAATAGTCCACTTGTTCTATTTGCTCCTGTGATAAGAGTGTTCATTGATGATTTCGTCTGTGTTTAACACTTTGCCTCTAACATAAAACTTTTTTGTCCCCCCCCCCCCCATTATATTTACGGGAGAAAGTGTGAGTACATTGAAGATTGTATTTGTGCTTGCCTCCAACCAGAAACTTTTGATTATTAACTTCTTTTTCTTTAATAAATGAAATAGGTAACCAATTAATTGTATATACACAATGTAGTAAAATATATTATACACTACCAATATTTAAATATATAATATCCTACTTATTCTAAGCAAAATTGTATTGAACTTTTGTTTATCCCACCCCATGTTTTCTAGCTGCATTTAATTAACAACCCTTGCAACAGGTCTATCAAATTTGGTAATATACAACAGGGACTTACCTGCCTAAAAGAATTTGTATTAAAGGTTTCTTGGCCTGCAGAAAATGAACAGATTTCTATTAATAACTTTCTTCACCACAATTAACTTATATTACCAATAAATGCATTCTATGACGATGAATTTATATTTTAATAAGAATTCAATAAACTGTATATTTAACTTTTCAATGATCTCCACGGTTGTATATATGTTTCACAGATTTTACAGCATTCATTATGATATGCTATTTGTGAATGTGAAATGAGGTTTAAAAACTTAATAGTTAGTATTTTACTTACCAAATAAATATTATTGAAACTGTTTATTCTATCTATCGTAAATTTACATTCTTCTAAAACAGCTCTAAAATATACAAAAAACATAAAAGATTTTATTTTTTATTTTTAAAGTACATTATACTGTGGCTTTTGATAAAAGACAATCTAATACTGTGGCCCAAAATTTAAATTTCCTGGAATTATGAACGGTCGAAAAGTGTATTATTAACTACAAGGGTCCTCTAAATTGAAAGCTAATTACCACTGATGCCTTTATTTTGGCTTAATCAAATTCGTCAAGGACTCCCGAGTCCTGACTAACCATTGCTTTATATGTTACCTGGGAGCAGTTCAAAGAGCTGAAACTTTACAGAAAAAGTAGTTCCTAGCCTGACCCTGACAAAAGATTTTGTCAAATTGATGTCATACACATTTATTGTAGGCCTACATATATGCATTCCCACAAATTGGAGGAAACTGTGATGATTGTTTGCGAGATTGTATAAACTAGCTTCAAGCTTACCCAATAGATGATGGTTCAGCATCCCATTTAGTTGCTTCTGTTATTAATGTAACCAAACCACTATAAGCTGATTTTAAACTTCCTTTATCAGTATCTTTAAATGATGTGTCATCTAATAATAATTAAAATATGCTTTTTATAATAAAAGTGATAATAAATGTACATAATTAGTTTTAAAAGGCATTAGCACAGACAATCTTTAAAATAATATCTTAATACCAGTATTCCAATTCCATATTATGGTATGGACTAATATCAAGACATATACAGAGCATTTTACATTGATTTCTTCCATGTAATAATTTGCCTGATCAAGAAGAAGAGATTTTCAACGTTGTTTTTTTAGTAGAATGTGGTACATTCAAGAGAATTATAGATATGTTTTCACTCCTACTCCCATATATTCTAGACTACATTTACAAGTGACCTTCAGTGTAGTACAATAAGGGTACATGGTGCATCTGAACAAATTGACACATGTATGCAAAAGTTTGGCCATCCATGCCCATGTTCCAAAATATTAACTGTTGATCATTCATCGATGCAATAAAATTCTATCTACCTAGTTACTTTAGTAACAGATTCTTATCAGCTCTAGCCTCTACCTGTTATGTGTTTCATAATGGCGGATCATTTCAAACGAATTTTGGATCGAAAATAGTGTTGGATTATTATAAATTTGTGACAGATGTGGCAAGAAATGATTTCTTTTGGAGATCAAAGAAGAATCACAGTGAAAAATAGACAGTGTGGATTCTAAAATAGCCTTAGAATGGAGATGGGGGTAAAGCCTTATTTTCATATTAGTTGTCTATAGGATCAGCCAGTAACGGAAAGAGACAGTCGATAAGAATCCGTTACTAAAGTAACTATGGTGTAAAATAAATGTACAGTATTGCTTAATTGCGAAATATAGAGAGGCTGTCATTTTATGTACCGGTACATGACACCTGAAAAGTTCTCTTTTCTAAGATGAGTAAATGTCTGGCCCTGCAGGCTAAAAAGGGGCGTGTCTGTGTCACATGTAACCGTTTTTGTTTCCAAAATTGATCATTTTTAAACTAAAAAAAACCCATCTCACTTGCAATATCGTCTCGATTAGACGCTGCCAACAGTCCCTGACAAGCATGGGCTACCAATATATTAAAACACTGGTCAGAAATATGGGCAGTATCGCCTGCTATTGACAGTTCTTCCAAAACAGAACTTCCGAACTCCATGATTTGGTGACCTTTCAACTTTTCTGTTTACTTCCGGCACGACGGTAATATTCGTGCGTTCAGCCAGGGACACATCAGATCGGTGTATTCGGGCTTTCAAATACGTAGATGCAAATATTTTATACCTAAACTGAAAATTAATTTCGAAATATAATATCACAATTTCTATATTTCCTCACAAAGAAGTAATAATATTTAGAATTTACTATCAGGTAGTGAATAATTAAAGATGCATTATGTAAGAGCTAAATCTGGCTATTGCACGTTTTTATTTTGGCTTCAAATGCTATACAAATTATTGCTTCGACATTTATTCACGTGACAAGCCCATAATCAACCCTCTAAGATGCCAAAGATGTAAACGATCGCCATTTAATGATTTAATTTCGATTAACAAGTAACGTTACTGCGATAATAAACAATTTATATCAAAACTTCAAACAGTGATCTTTGAATGAAATTTTCAATACATCAAGTTTGAATTATCCATTTTGGAACTATTACAACAAGAACGGCTAGCTCTTCGTCTTCTTAGTCTGATGTGTACGTTAGTTGTTTGTGATGTATGTGTACTGTGTCTTGTCCGTATATTTGTCTTGTATATTTGTGTGTAGTGCAGTCCCCTTCATTAGCACAGCCGGAGCAGAACCGTAGGACGTTACGGTTAAACCCCATTTCATTTCATTTCATTTCAAATCTTACAATGTGCATATTCAAGGAATGCTGCCCCGGTCCGCATCGAGTTATCTAGTGTATTTAACTCCCGTGCAAATGTTATGTATACATCTCCTGTATTTCACACGAAATATCATGTTGTTGTTAAAGATTATGCTTAAAACATTGATGTGTCAACGATTGAAGTACTAACTACGGTTAGGGTTAATGTTGAGAATATTCCCATACTGGTCGCCTGCTGTTTTTGAATATCAAGAAAGTAGCTATTTATGTAGATTGAAAGCATTTAAGGTAAACATCTACAGGTGCAAGACTTCCAGATAAATTACAATTTTACCCGTTCAATGCGCAATATTTTGACCCTCCTCCATCTGCCAACAGGTGATTATTTTCAATGAATGTAAAATTGATCTCGCATTTCTTGTCCCCTCGTTACATTGCAGCATAATCTTTTTCTTGTTATCATTGTCGCAGATTTTTTTGCTGACGCGGTAATCATTTTTTATTCTTCGTTCTTATAAAGTTTATAAATGGTTATTCAAAGACAGGGCTGTGTGGTATAAGGAAGTACAGTCATGGCATAATAGTGAATTACTTTTATTACATCAGTGTTTTCTTAAATATACATTTGCTTGGGTTTTGTGGGTACATAAATCAACACTGGACAGGTGGAAAGCGAGTATAACGAACCATGTGTAAGGGGACACATAGAAATAGTGCCACTACTGATGTCTTCCGCCTTGTGGCTCGTCCTACGGAGTTCCTTTGCGCAAGTTATTTAGTCAAATGACTACAAAAAGTTTACTGGCCTATAGACCCCTAACATTACTGCGCATAGCTTAACATATAATAAACCTATTCCCATTGAAATAAAGGTGAAGTCTTACCGCATAATTATATGATTTGATGAAACCCAACTGTTTCATCTGGCTGGTGTCATGGCGGCTTACATAAAAAGAAATGTCGCTTTGAAAATGTAGAACGCATTACCACAAAGAAAAACTATTTTAGTGGTCCAGTCTTCACTATTTGTGATAGAACTACCTATGTCAAAACAAACTGTTATGACATGTGTTGACAATTGTGCGTTTGAACCTATTTGTACTTGCGTAACGAGTTTTAGACGGTATCAATTGTAGCGTTAAACACAGTTTAACGGTACGACATTTGTCGCTAGGGGACACAATACTCGCCTTGCCCTGGGCGCTGACAAGCCACGCTACGTCACTGGTTACACTGACGGAAATAGGTAGATCTATACCCTTTGGGGGGGGGGGGTGGCTGAATGGTTAGCACGTGCACGCAGTATCATAAAGTCTGTCATTGAGTCAACTGGCGGAGTTTCGATTCCCCGGTTGTACGTGACAAGGAGTAGGGTCGACTGTCCAACCTCGTGGGTTTTCTCCGGGTCCTCCGGTTTTTCTCCCACTGTTAAAGACCCCTACGCGCAAGCGAATTATGGAAATAAATTAAACCACATGTTAGTCCCGAAATGACCTAGTTTGTGTCTAGTGGACGTTAAACCCCATCTCTCTCTCTCTCTCTCGCTCTCTCCCCTTTGGCTCACATCAAAATAAACAATCAAAACAAACAAAAACAGCTAAACAACATTTTTTAATGAAGATTAAAACGAATGATGTTTCAGAAAGATGTTGGAACAGATCTGGTAAGATGTTATGAGTTGTTTTGCTGTTTTTCGAGATTATCCTGGTATATTAAAACGGGTACATGCAGGTGCCACTACTCCACGCCGAATCACATTTTAACCCATCACAGCACCATGACGCCATTAGCGCACAATCATCACCAAATTTAGCACACTCTGACCTTTCTTCTAAAGATCTAATAAAGGAAAGTAAAATGGAACGATTAATTTTGTATTTATAGGTACGTGTATTATATAAGATGAGAAGGTGTTGCAATTAAGGCACTGGGTTTCTTCTACGCGACGAGATTACGCCCATGACTTACAAATTTTCAAAGATAAAATTAGACATAGTGTAACAAATCCGATCAATCAAATTAGAAATGAAATAAAATGAAGTGGCGGTAATCAAATTTGAAAGTTTCAACTGGACTGGGATGGAAAAGAAAAGAAAAAAAAGAATAAAATACCTCTCCTGAGCGGCATCGTGGTTTTCATTTGAATTTAATAATATATCTGTAAAGTATAAAGATTATAAAGATTACATTTTCATCTTCGTTACGTTTCCGAAAGTCAAGCCGGGCAGCGGTGTTAATAAGTTGATTATGTATCAAGACGGCATCGGAATTAAATTTAATATAGATTGTTTGTGCCTTCAAAAGTTGTTCGGTTTACATTGTGCACGTCACTTGAAAATCGAAATGAATGGCCTGTATTCACAGTTTTTCTACGATTTCTTTAACACCATCGTCACAAGGCCACTACTTTCGATACAAGGTATAAATTTCGGTTGCTCAATTACAAAATATGGCATAAAACAAACAGCAATTAAAATGTACTAATTATCTTGATTTTCTTATATGGGAACCTCTTATATCAATTGTAATCAGGCCCAGAGACTTAAGAATTTACTCAAAATTGATTCGCCCTATTTTAATTGAAATATAGCCCTTTATAAAACTTTTGATGTTTTAATGTATCAAATCAACAAGAAAATATGTGCAAAGTTTTGTGTTTCTAGATTAAATATATTTCTCATAAACAGTGATTAAAAGCTGAGTTAATTCATAAGTCTGAGAATGTTTTGTGAAACCGGGGCCTGATGATTTTCATATAATTTCATCTCATATTAGTATTATCATGACGTGTGAGAAAACTCTATTTCAGTTTTTAACGGAGAATTACCATCCTTCGAAAATCGCGAAGTGGGGTAAGAAAAGTTTTCAATCGACAATGCATCTAAAATTTGAGACAATTCTGTCAAAACATCCCCAAATCGTTTGACCTTCAATTAATAAGTTGTGCAAATTTCATATTATTATTATATTGTACGCTGGTACAAAAATGCCATAGTCCAACTAACAACTAAGTCAGTTACTTGATTTCGGAGTCTTGAGTTAATTTGAATATGATGCCATTCACATTTATCACACTTTTTTTCTTCTTGAGCATGATAATGCGTCTATAACTTAAATAACGATTTTTTAAAATTTATTTTCCCCCATAATGACCCTAAAATTTAATACAAAAAAAAAAAAAAAAAAAAACCACCCAAAAAACAGAATATTATCTAGAGACTTACCTAATTTAGCAGCTGACACAACAGCGACAGATAGAGCAAATACTACCAAATATTTTACTGCATTCATGTTTGAACCTTTTAAAAATCCTGACCAAGTGATTTAGAGAAAACACCCGACAAATATATAGGAGATTGCCCTATTATTATCAATTATATTTAATAGTTTTATTGACAAGGTATTATATTGTAAATGTTTTATTAATATCATAATTTAATCAATTACAATTACCGACCACTTAACCAGGCCTTTCAAAATGGTGTTAAATTACAGCCAAACACGGTTACTAGAATACCCCCCTCTCGTGGAAAGGCATGCTATCTCATAGTTGGTCAAATTAAAGGGCATATACTATTGCGGGCAATTATATTTGTTATCTATTAGAGATAATCTTCTGGGCGCTTATTACATTTAAACTTTTGATACGCATTTATACAGTATGATAAACATATACTAACATAATTATGTATGTAGATAGTATAGCATTTAGCGGCTAACACGAGAGATACATCGTACAAAGAGTAAATTAAATTGAACGTCTTTCAATTTCTCACCTTCATTTTAGACGAAGACCTATATAGCAATCGACATACTTCGAGTTGGAGACCCTAAATTGTATCTGAGGAGGGATAATGATGGGGAAAGATGTACCCGATTAAATTTTTGTATCGAAAGATTAAGCGGAAGTCGGCTTCATCACTAATGTTATTTTCATTTTGTATCTTTCTAGTTGCTAGTGATTGTTATCCATAACGTTGTGTTCCTGTTTTTTTTTTCAATGTTATATATACAGTATAGTCCTATCACTAAATGCCTTATAAACAATTGTATCTATCTGTCGACAGTGAAACACAAAATCCATTAAATTAGAACTCTGGTTTAATCTATAAACAGATTTACATCCAACAAAATGAACATTTAAACTCAAATCGATAATCTGTTTTATAAGCAAATGAAAGATGTCTGGCCATTTTATAATATTATACAATTATCAAACAAAAATCGGTTAGTAATTATCACGAGAATAAACCATATACATGTATCGGTTTCCAACGATTTCAGTTGATCTCTAACATAGAAATCCCCGCACCCTAATTATAAAATCTCGTTAACGCATTACAGGGTAGGCCTACACTGTGAATACATTGTTTGAATTTGTCACATAAAAATATTCAGCTTGATCAAGGGGATGGAGAGAGAGAGCGAGAGAGGGAGCGTTAACGCCCACTCGACACAAATTAGGTCATTTCGGGACTAACACGTGGTTCAATTTTATTTCAGTAATTCGCATGCGCGTAGGGGTCTTTAGCAGTGGGAGGAAACCGGAAGACCCGGACAAAACCCACGAGGTTGGACAGGCGACCCTACTCCTTGTCATGTACAACCGGGGAATTGAAAAAATGCCAGTTGACTGAATGACAGACCTTATGATACAACGCGCACGCGCTAACCATTCGCCCCCTCCCCCCGACGACCTGACGGCGACTTATTGTGACCTAATTCTGGCCCTAACGAAAAAAGTCCGACGGGTAAACTTTTAAAACAGACTTGACACTGGGATGAACACTATTGATTTTAATAATTGCGTTATCGCTTCTCGTGTTATGCACCATTATTATGCAATCTTGTAATTAATTGTTGCAAAATTGTTTGATTTTTTTGACTTCTTGGTAGAGAAGAATCAGAAGATGTTTGCTTGCCATCGTGTCTCTGATGTTCAGAATGATGTATACCATTATATATTTTAGGCCGACGTTATATTATCATTATATCCGACACACTTATAAGTAATGTTAACAACCCAAATATTTACTGTTATGATATCACATTGGTTTCATTAACATACTATAATCCTTATCACATGATCACCTGAGACCGAAATATACACTTGTCAAGTAAGGTTAATGTGTCACAAAGAAAAAAAGGATATTTGGCAATAGTGATGAGGTTGTAAATCTTTGGAATTCCAGATATATACAGACACCAATTTTATTTTCAATACATCGTTTAAATGTTACACAATAGCCTATTTTACATACGTCTACGTTGTGAGGAAATTTCTATAAACTGTAGTGATAACGGGTATCAATGATTGAAAACATTATAGATGTGACATCTTGATCATGTGGAGGAAATGGCGAAGAAAAATAAAATCGGGTCCAAAAACAACACTACCCAGGTATGTAGACGATATTTGAAATATATTTTGGAATGTATTACTTATAGTAGGCATTAGAACTTTGGAGATCTTCGTAGGTCGGTAATTTTTTTTCTCAATAGTCAATTCCTCCTGTTGTGATTTACCGTTATATCGGGGGTGGAGGTATTTACATTAATTACATGCCTAACACCAGTCAGATATACCAGTCTGTCACGGCGATATGACCGTTTTAAGATTCCGTTGATTCGTACTAACACCATTACAGCCTACATTGGTGTTTAGATGTTCCGCGGACGCTGGTAAACACGGCTTTGATCTTTGATGCTTTGTCAAGCCTTGGTGTATATTAATATATTATATGAAATCAATGGCATTTATTTCATTCTGGAAAGTTCTAATGTCTATTTTATTTTTAAATACATTTATGAAATCGACAGAAACCTGTAAGGGTGTAGCACAGATTACAATATTAAGATGTAAAAAAAGACAACTATGAAGTGGTATAGGAGTACACTTTCACTACCTAATAAAAGTAAATTGTTCGGCTTTTTCATTTGTATTTCCAGTTCCGGGAGACCCGGCAGTGTGAAAGATGCGACAACTAATGTTCAACCAAAAGCACTTGTTGTAAAGGATAAAATTCTATTCGACAAGCACAAAGTCCAATACAGTGGAATTGTATGGCGTTTGGAACAGATATTCTCCGAACATATTGAAGACGCCAACGAGAAGAAAACGCTTCTGCACTTCTGCCACCAAAAGATGGCACCGGTATTTACGAGACTAGAGGCAATTGGAGAATCGTTGGTGAGTAATATTATTGCCGCCCTACCAGATGACACAGAATATGAAAGTTATAAATACTTCAATACAAAAATTATAGAAATATTAATCCAAGATGGCTGCAACACAACTAAACCAAACAGTGTCGGGGATCCTCCTATGATCTCGGCCTTCAAGCTGAAGAAGTATTCGATCCTTCAAGGCTTCTTTAACAAACGTAATCACGTTAACCTGACAGATAAATATGGCGCAACACTACTTATACTGGCTTGCAAGGAAAATGATTTTAGGACCGTACAGAAAGTCTTGTCCACTTATGGCAAAGATGTGTCCTTAGACATAGTTGATGCGTCACAAAATTGCGCGTTGTCCTACGCGGCATTGAATGATAGCTTTAGTATCTGCAAAATGCTTCAAGAAGCGGGAGCTAACCCCAACGGTGGTTATACTTCTGCTTTGTACCAAGCTGTGATGAATAACAGCAGTTTACCGGTTATAAAACTACTGGTGGATCATGGTGCTTCAGTGGACGTGTGGATAGATATTACTGGTCTGAACACTCTTATAGCTGCTGCCAATAAAAACCGAACAGACGTCGTCAGACTTTTGATCAACGCTGGTGCCCATTTCCCTTCAACGTGGCATATGAACAAATCCTTCATGACAGCGCTAAAAAAGGATAATTTGGAAGTGATTTTGTTGTTTCTGGAGAAGTCCGTTGATATATCATCAAAATCCAGCAAGGGTACGAATATAATTCACGAGGTAGCAATCTACGGAAGCATTGATTGTCTGCGATATTTCATAGAAAAGACAACCATTGATCTCAATGTTTTGGATCGTTATGGTCGTTCTGCGTTTTTTCTTGCTGCTGAAAACGGAAACGAAAAATGTTTGGATATTTTGTTTCGTGCGAATATACAATACTTTCATAGAGACGCCAAAGGTCTGTCGCCATTAGAAGTGGCGGTATTTAATAATCATAAATCGTGTGTTCAGTTTATGTTGGAAAACCTCGTGTGCTCAAAAAGTGTCTTGGTGAATACATGTTGGCAGCTTAGGCTGGAATATGATCAAGCCGAATTTCGTCAAATGGCGGCATTTGATACTCTACGCGAGTTCACCAATTCCTGTGAGGATCATGTTAGTCCGTTGCTAGATCTATGTGTTCTTGCAATAAGGAATACATTGCGTGATAGGAACACTTCAAAAATTGATAGTCTGCCCTTACCAACAATTATCAAACATCTGCTAAGATGATGTCCAATTTATTGTAGAGTGCATTTTTTTTTATAATTATCTGTTCGCTTCCTTTCTTTTTTGGTAACAAAATAAGCGACCGTAATCATAACAATTTTAAATGTGTAAAATGGTAGGGCAGCCTAAAGTTTACAATACAGTAACCAAAGGATCTAGTAGATACAGGTAAAAAAAACAGTATACAATATCCATAAACAGCCAGGTATTCAAAAAGCCTCTGATAGAGAATTGCGTACTGACACAAAAGAAGCCTTATGTTGTTATGAAATGGGAACCTCAAAAACTGGGAAGGAAGCATCTAATGAAACTTCATCAGTAAACTGTTAACCCATGAAGTTTCACTCAGATTCATGCTAAAGGAACCCAATCACACCAGATACAGACTACATCTATGACACTGGAATTTAGCGTCACATAAACGGGAATAAATATTGCTGCACTTTAGTTTCAAATAAAATGAATTAAATATTACCGAGATGTTTTCCAGTAGACTGGGCTATTCTTTTAATAAAATCGTGGAATAAAATATGGGTCGAGTTTAACTGCAGGGTCAAGGTTTATAATGGTTTCTAGGGGCAACTAATTTGGTTCTGGCTGGTTGACGGTGTTTTTAATTTTAGGGAATAAAATTTGTTACAATTTCAGCCTTTCCTCAGATTATTTATCTGCCCATAATGAGAATCAGATTCTTGTGATTTGTTTATTCTGCCTAACCATCTTGGCATCAATACCAGTAGTAGGATCCCAAAATGTTTAATCCTTTCTCTTGCAATGTTCACTTTTATTAGTCCACTTTAATAAGTTTCCACTGCCTGGCAAAATCAACAAATGGCTCATAACTACAGGTGTTCACATGATTGAGTTTGATTTACCGTTACATTTAGTAGATCTCTATTACAAGAAGGGG